ATGGGTGCACTCGTAGTTTCAATTTAAGTCTCGTTACTTTCATATCCCCGTTTCCACTCCCCATCCACGTTTGATTCCGGTATAATTAAATTCGTACTCCATGCTAAGCGTGCTTCAGCCTTGCACGAACAAAGGAAGTACCGCGGGCGCTTTTTATCCTCAAGTTTTCGTCAGCCTTTTCGTGATCCAGCGAAACTCCCTTGCACAAACGAAGTATCTGTTCCTTTTATGAAAACACGCCGCCTATCACTTTTCTCTACGACTCTCGGTCTCGTCTTTGTACGTTATTGCGCCGTACTAGCCGAGTTATCAGTTTTTTCACGGTCGTATTTTCATATTTCAACCGTGCACACTGCGTGGCATCAATTACACTCGAGATTCTTATCCGTCTCCGTAAAAGTGATTCAATGCCAACCGCAAATATTAATCTACGTCCCAAGAGCGAAAAGTTGATAGTGAAATGCATGTTACCCGGAAGAATCTCAAGCGATTCGAACCAAACAGAATGATTTATGCATTTGTCGTCGTTGCGATTTAAAGCAATGCCTGGATAAAGGGAAACTTAACATTTTTTAATAATTTTACATATTCCTGGGTGCTTTTTCCGATTGTGTATATAAATGTTTTCGCTGGTTCGTTCTCGTTTGGAAATTTTTATTCTATTTATCGCAATACTGAAATATTATGATTCAATAATGCCTGGATAAAGGGAAACTTAATATTTTTTAATAATTTTACATATTCCTGGGTGCTTTTTCCGATTGTGTATATAAATGTTTTCGCTGGTTCGTTCTCGTTTGGAAATTTTTTATTCTATTTATCGCAATACTGAAATATTATGATTCAATAATGCCAAATAAACATGCTCGTATAAAATCGCATTCCAAAGTCAAATTGCTTTCGACGCTGATCTAGCCTAATGTCGAATCGAAGGGATCGTACAAGAAAACGTTCATTTTTCACCTCCCTTCACTACTCTATAAGTAGGTCACTCGCGTCTGCATAATATTGCTCGATTTCGTTCGTATAGAAGAAATATTGCATTCCGCATCTTTTTAAACGGGGTCGATCGTAAGCTCGGGAGTTATAAAGGGTGCGAATTCCCCGAATTTCGTGAATTCATTGTTATATCCCAGATACGTAATGGAGTAGCGTGCACGGTGAATAATGAACGGTGCTTCTTTATCTGTCAGAAATATTTTCTGCGCACAACACGCTATGAAGGATTTGTCACGAAACAAAATGTTATCAATGCGGTTAATTGCCAATATTGCTGATATCGATGGTAGGTAAACTGTCATTTAGCTACTTGGATTAATCAACACCGCCTTTATTTCGAATAAATTACTCGAGACATATTCGTCAATTTGCGATACGTTTTCGCATGCAGCTGACCTATATTTTCCAAACGTTCCGAGAGAAAATAACAAAATGTTTTCCTGTGGTCACGTTTCCCAGTTCTCGCTTTTTTCAAACAAATGGAGATAAAAGAGGTAAGTTTGTACCATTGAACTAGATTACTTGTATGTATTCAGCGTGAAAATAACTCCGAGCGATATCCGACCCAGTAACGGTGCGATAACATCCATAACAATTGGATCGGTCAATCGGGAATTAATATATTATTTAAACGTTCCGTTTCGCGGAAATGGAATTTGTGTTCCGACGAAAGAGATATCCCACATTCCTTTGTCTGTGGAAATTTGTTTAACAGAGCGTTGTAAGTGGGCACAAAGCTGAACATGCAAATGCACGAGGCTAAGCAAAGCTCGCAGTCGTGGAACTATTCCGTTAGCCAGTTTCAAGGTGGAAAGTAAATAATTCCCTTCGAAAAGTTCCAAACTTGCCAGCAAAGCTAGTAATGCTCGAATATCCGCCATATATTATAAGTTATCGCGTGAAAATTTGCGCAGCCTGATTAAAACTTCTGTTCGTTCCGATATGCTCTGAGCAGCTTTGCTCAGCAAAGACTGCGGGGGAAGCTCCTTTAGGTACCGCGTTTTGCAATAATAATCAGCGTCGCAATAGACCGGATTGAGTAGGTGCGCGAGATGAATGTGTTAAAAATATCTCTGTGCTGCTCCCATCGGTAATATTTCTTGTTTTAATGCAACGTGAACTTCGACGGGACGGTGTTAATTAAGAAAGACGAGAATCATCCTGGGACCAACGGCGAGAATTGTTGTACCAGAGGAGAACTCGTAGAAATGAAGCAGAAAAAAAGCAATAAATTGACAAAGGTCTTCGTTGTGCAACGGGAAGACAAAGCGTGGGCAACGAGAGCATTAAATTTAAGATATTACGTATATATAATATAATATTCAGAGACGAGTTTTGACAAATTTCTTAAGATTAATGAATGTAGAATTTCTAGACAAATTTAAAAAGAAAGAGATAGTGCTCGATTCGTGAAATCGAGTCTTTTTTTGGAGAGTTCCAGGTGTACACGATCTCTTAAGGTAATTGAACTGGGCGATTGAACAGAGGTTCGGAGAAATGGCCAACGAAGGAAACTATTTTAGGAGAAACAATGAGAATCGAGGTTTAGCAGACGAGCAACAAGAATGGGGAAATAAGTCCACACTCTTGGGAGTTGGATCGGAAGGGTAAATATTTCGAGATCTCAGTGTTTCTGTACTTTGGATAGAGCTGGTATCCCTTTCTCCATCCCCTTGTATTTCTTTTTATTCTCTCCTATGTTGCTTTCTCTGCAAATCAGCTCAAGAATTCTCTGTCTGTACTCCCTGTTCTATACGAGTGATGTATACCCAAAGGCTTAAACGCTATAATAGAACGATAAGTGCTGAAGCGACGTTCCAAGATGATGTACATATACTGTGTACCGATTTTGCTAACGTTACAACACTTTAAGAATGTTATATCTTTTAACACTGACGATAAAATTTGATATTTAAATTACTGAAAATTTTTCAATGCACAATTGTTGTCTATGTAGACAAAAATTAAAATTTGAGTCGTGTTATTAAATATTTCGCAATGAAGAAATAAAAACTGAACCCACACGAATAACCTGCTATAAGTTTTATTCGTATCTACTACTGTTTTAACGGACAGATTTCCATCTCGTGGAAAATTCGACGCAGGAAATTAACTCTATCGTAGTACTGTTAGACAATCTTATTACGCATGTACACAGTATAATCTTGCCTGCTATACACGGCGAGATTCAGCAAGGTTTATGCATCGACTGGATTAAACCAACTCTGATAAACTACGCTTGTTCTGGGTTTGGAATTTTGTTAGCAAATAAAACGCTCCAACTCTGAGGTCGTGCTCGATGAAATTGTTCGGTAGGCATTCAAAAGGATGAGAAAGGGTCGTTTCACTGAAAACGGCGCGCGTACGATGTGTGCAACAAGACTGTTTCGTACTTTGATGTTCTCGAGGGATGAAGCTTTGAACAGCTTCGCGTTGGAAACGGTTTTACAACTGAATATTATTCCTACTTCCCTCAGTTTGTATTCTCACAGTCATTTCTCCTTCGTCATCGTGGCTATAGAATGCAAATCAATATGCTAACGTGACGCGGATGGTAGGGCGAGTATAAACATTTTGACTGTGTCAATGATATTGTAAATTCAACATGGTGCAAGATAAAATTCAAAAGAAACATTAAAAGAAGCAGTAAAATTTAATTAGATTTGTTGCGAAATATTGATAGCGCAATGATTAAGAAATATTGTTGTATTAGTAGTATAGTGAGTATAGAAAAACGACATCGAGGACAGTATATTGAAGTGTGCTATAGAAATAATTGACACTCTGTAGTCTATTATAAGAAATGTTACGTAACCATATGCTAGCAATTGTTTTATTGCTGAACTGTAATCCCTCGCAACACTTCATGTTAAACTGAATTTCTAAAAAATATCTCTACCTTTTCCTTACAATTTAATTAATTTCAAATACGAATCTGAACACTCTAGAACTTGACAATGTATTGTTTAGTTTACATATTAATCTAAAAAGTCTAAGCTGATCTCATCTACATATAAATAATACGCAAGTATCGAACCATGTTTACACTTTGTGTAGTTCGACGATATATTTGGATGTTCGAATCTTCCCGCCAAACTAAAAGAAGCATTGGCAGGAGGGGCAGGAGGGGCAGGAGTGTCACTAGCCTCAAGATTCTCGAGTCGAGGGAACGTTCACAATCTATCGATACGCGGGTATACAGCGCATAAAAGGTTAGTACTATACGTAAATGCAATATCTTAATCTTACGTGTCAACGCGCTCATTAAGAACACAAAGTCAATTTCAATATTTCTTTTTATTCGTGACTTTTTAATATAAAACGATTCGTTCGTTGTTAATACAACCTCGTTACACTTTGCTCGCACAACGATAACTAACGTAATCGAAAGAATGGTTTTACTAGGTATTCTGATCTTTGTTTAATAATAATCAACTTCAATGTATAATATCGATTAGAACTATCTGTTTATTGTACAAAGTATCAACAGACTAATAATGAGGAAGAGTAACGTATGTTTACAAAGTGAACTAATTTACATATGAAATCGTGGTTTGAATAAAATTATTATTTACCATACGTCAAGAAGTAATACACCTCTTAAAACACAACATCGAGAGCACACGTGCACGGTTCGACTGATTTTCGTGTTGGAAATTGAAGAAAAATGCACGCACTAAACGAAATATTCTTTCAAAAATATTTGATTTCACGATCATCGTGAAGACGGTTTCGATTATCGAAAGTGATCCGCAATCTCGAATGGTCGCGCCAATAGCTCGATGCGCCATCTTACGACTCGTTACAGTTCTTGGCCATGTTCAAAACGCCCGTTAAGAAATATTACGAAAATTGTATGTTTCATATGTAAATTCACTCTTACAAAAGAAGTATATATGTGTAATTCGTCGATAAAGTGAATGTTTATTGTGTAGTGACAAGTGTCATCGCTGGAATCTCGGATTTATTCACTTTCGCTTCCACCGCCAGCTCTATCTGAACTCGAATGGCGGGAACCAACATCACTGCCCGAAACCGATTTTCTGGATTCTGGAGTAGCAGATCTGGAAGAAACAAATTACGATTCTAACGATCCGAGAGATAAACGAAATCGTCGAGAATACTGCAATCAGCACGTGAGCATATTCATACACACATTGTGGTAATCTTTTAACAAGAAATTCGTTTGACCTTCAAATGGTTCCAATGCTTTTAATAGGCTTGAATATATTGCAATATTTTTTGACCAGTAGCAAATTATTAGATGTAATGATTACTTTTGTGCCTTTCTAAGGTGAACATATCATTTACTTATAAAAGAACAACGTATAACTTTTAATCTTCCCTTGGTCACACATTCCAAGAGAGAATGTGTTTCATTCTTATTTAACGAAACAACATAGAGACAATATGCAAAATTTGTTAGCTTCTGAACTTTGTATAGGTAAATTGTAACAGCCATCAGATTAGGTTACGTATATAGATTTAGTTTAATGGAGATCAGAGTTAACGATTCAGAATGTTGGTAATGTACTTTAATATTTTAATTTCTACGTTTAATAAAATTCAACGAATCTTTAAGAAACGATACTTTTTCCTATTAGGCTACCTAATATACACATTCAAATAATATTCCAAAATAAGATAGAGAGAGGTAGAAATGAAAAAAGCCGAATAGTTTTGATAAAATAAATGAAAAAAAGAATACTTACCGTGCCGATCCACTAGGACTGCGACTTCTAGATCCACTCTTTGACCTTGAACCCGAACGCGATCTCGACCTCGAAACAGACTTTGATTTTGATCGACTTTTACTTCTGGATCTACGTTCGTCTTTCCCTGACTGTGAACCACTCCTGGACCTGGACCTTGACCTCGATCTTGACCTTGATCTTGACCGTGACCTCGATTTTGACACTGATCTTGACCTAGACATTGCTTTCCTCGAACCACTAGGGGATCTTGATCCACTGTGCCTAGATCCTGATCTTGATTTCGGTTGAGATCCACTTTTCCTTGAACCACTGCGTGATCTTGACCGTGAGCCACTCTTCCTTGACCCTGATCTAGATCTAGAGCCCGACCTCGAACGTGACCCGCTTTTCGCAGACCCCGACCTCGATCTAGAGCGACTTCTTGATCGCGATGGACTCCTGGACTTCGATCCAGATCGAGATCTAGATCGGGAGCGCGATTGTGATCGAGACTGAGACCGTGAGCTACTTCTAGAGTGTCTTCTAGATTTTGATCTGGATCGAGATCTGGAACGCGAGGCGCGCGAACCTTCGGAATCTGATACAATTTTCCTGCTACCAGATGGACGACCTTCGTTTCCGCTTTCACCCCTAAAAACAAATAAAATATTTCACCAACCTCTTCAAGATCTAGTTCAACGTATATCGTCTCTCAGAATCATTCTTACCCGCTAGCAATTTTGAGACCTCCTGAATCACTGTCAGATTCACTCGTTGATATAGTTTCTTTGGACAGGAAATTACTTTTACCCTTCGAAGATTCAGCTGTACTTTTGCGAGGTGTTTTATCCTTTCTAGTACTTCCAATCTTCCTTCCATATTTTCGCTTGGGCCGATCACTTTCTGAACCTGAACATAGAGACATGGTATAGTTCAAAGTTTTAAAGTGTGCAATAGTAATCACAAACCATAATCTTACCACTTTCACCGCTTCCCAAATCCTTCTTTCGCTTTCCTTTGCCCTTGCCTTTCCTTTCTTTGTGTTCACCACTTGCTTTCCTTTTGCGTGGTTTTTGATCTCTTGGAGCTTCCTCTCTCCCATCATCGGAGCCACCACTGTCGCTGACGTACTGATCTGTGCGTGCCTTCTTTGTTTTCTTCCCAGTTTTTTCTGAAGGCATTTCGTCGAACACCAACACATTCTTAGTCTTTTCAACGTACTCTTGTCGTTTTTGTAACATCTCTTCTTCTTTTTGTCGTCGCATTTCTTCTTGTTTCCGTTGTTCTTCTGTCTGGCGCATTTTAAATGCTTGCCTATGAAACAATGTATTGTCGATTAGATTACATGAATTTCACGTTACTATTCGGTTACATTCGCGTTATTACCTTTCTTCCTCTTGTTTCCTTCTGAGCATCTTCTCCTCTTCGTCCAATCTTCTAGCTCGGGCGACATGATATTGCGCTTGTGATAGTAAATCTTGACACCTTCTGGCTTCCCCTTCTGCGAGCTGTTCCATTCTGTCTCCGTGAGTTGATAAGTATTGGAAATATTTATGCGACAGTCCCAATTCGTGAACTGCCTGCAGTACCGTTGTCAAAGTCGACTTCTCGTCTTTCAATATGTGCGTTGCTAGACGTTGAAGCACAAGTGCAATATTGTACAACAAAACTGTATCCTGTGGAGCTACCCTCCGTGCCTACGAGTAATAGCATTCGTTAATTAATTTTTATAGCTTCGAATATCGGTGAAATGTAGAATTATTATTTACCTTCAATAATGTTAACTTTGCTTCCTTTAATTTACCAGCCTTAAAGTAGGCCCTTCCGAGGTATTGTAGGATTTCAACGTGATGGTATTTGTAGAACTTGCGAAGACAATTTTCGTACTGTAAAGACACGTTTGTAAAATAATACGTTGCCATCACTGCGAATTAGTACTGATAATGAGATGTTGAATTACCATTTGAATAGCGCTAACAAATTGTTTCTGCTCCACGTAAATGTGTGCAATATTTAACCAAACATCACAGAATTCTGCCGTTGCTTCTCGAACTTGGGCGAATATATCTCTAGCTTCGTTCACACATCCTTTATGTGCTAACACCGCTCCAATTCCGTTCGCTGCCCAAATGTTTTTGGGATCGTTTCGCAAAACCTACGAGTATATACTCAGTAATATACGATCGAACAACGAAATATAAACCTTTAGTGTTTCTTATTGCAATACCTGTTTGTACATAGCCAACGCTCTGTCTTGATGACGTTTTTCGCGGTCTTTGTCTTTTCCGCTTTGATGTAAAGTTTGAAGCCAAATATTGCCCAATGCAATCAAAGAGTAAGCATCTGTGCTTGTTGTTGGATTTTTAAGAATTCTTTCGAATTTTTTCTGGCCTGGCCCCCATTCCATCTTGGCTAAATGTAAATTACCCAAAAGCGACCACGCGTCTGGATGTTCATTGTTAATTCTCAAAGCATCTTTGAACCAATCGGATGCTTCGTAAATTTGACCTTTATCACGAGCCATACAGCCAAGCCGTAAATAACAATCTACATAATTTGGATGCTCCTTTAAAATATCTTTGTACAATTTTTCCGCTTTATCGAAGATACATAAAGCTTCGTTTAGGCGCGCCAAATTATATGTTGTTGTAACAGCAATTGAATTATAGTACACAGAATCGTGCAAGGCATCAGCTTTAGAGCGTGCCAGGGATTCCTCCAAATTTTTTCTAGCTTCCTCTAAGTTTCCAAGCCTTAAACATGATGGTAAACATTACATTTAAATCGGATATGATATCGAAAGAATTAAACGAAATATGAACCTGTAATGTAGAGCTCCAACGTTATTTAGAATTTCAGGTGGTATGTCCGCTTGAACTTTCTCTTTTAAAATTCTAGTTGCAGTACCATATGCGTTTAAGGCTGCATTAAGGTCACTTTGTTCTAATATCTGAGCGAGCTCGATCCATGCCTCGACATCATCGGGAAATTGCTCGGTTACTTTCCGAAGATGATTTTTGGCAATATCGCGCTTCGATTGGGAACTTGAGTTTGCATACAAAGATCCAAGAATTTTCATTGTTTCGTAATTGCCTGGTTGAGCTTTTAACACTTTTTCGAAACATTGTGCCGCCTACAACGGGAAACACAATTCAAAAATCTATTTCTCTACGTTTGTAGTTCGTTGCGAAAAATAATACGCCGAACTTACATTCTCTGCATCGCCGCGATAAACATACATTTGACCTAATCCAAAGTGTGGTAAAACAAAAACCGGAGGTGCAAATTGAGTTGCTTGATAATAGTATTGAAATGCTTGATCATAATCGCCCTAGAATAGTTTCATTTTTTATTAAAACTGTACTACTTAAGTCCCGTACCCGTAAAAGCACACTTACTTGAACATGGAATGCTCTGGCTAATTGGTAACAACTCTCTGCACGCATAGCTTCGTTTTCGGTATTGTGAAATGCATGGAGTGCCAAGTGTTGCACTTTATTATAATCTTTTTTAAAGAAGAAATGATTTGCCAAGTGATTTAATACCATAGGATTCGTCGAATCGATCGTATAAGCTTTAGACAACATTTGTACTCCAGTTCTGATACTATCAGGCTGTTGTTGATTTAATTTCAAAACTGAAAGACCAACCAATGCTCCGACGCATTGACCATCTAATTGTAAAGCTCTTTCAAAGGCTAGGCGTGCTTTTTCTTGGTTATTTAGCTTCATAAAACAGTGACCCATTCCCAGTCTAACAGCAGCTGGACAGTTTGGATTTGTCCTCAAAGCTTTTTTGTAAAAAGCAAGCGCACCGCGGTAATCTTTTTTATTGAAAGCTATACATGCTTTACCAAGTAGTGAGGGAATATTATTTGGAGATTGATTCAGTACAAAATTGAATTGGGCATCGGCTTGGTCCATTTTATCTCCTTCCAAGAGGCAAAAGTAAGCTCGGCCAAGCAAGTGATTCTTTAAAATTAATATTTATATAAGATGTGCGCGCAGTTTACGATATCAATGAAATTAATATAAACAATATATACCTGGTCATACATAATGATCTTATCAGCAGTTGTATATAATAGTGTGGCTTTTGTGAACAGATCTCTTTTCTTATCCTTATTTTTTTCTCTGTTGGCTTCTTGGACATAGTATGCAGCCAACATGTCCAAGGCTCGCATTTGATCTTTTTCATAGTCACGGTAGTCAATATTTGCATCAATCCGAGAAGATTCAAGTATCTTAATAAAATCTTCAATTTTATGTTGTTTATAGTATTCAAGCTGTAACGAGAAGTAATATGTTTCACTTTCACCTATCATCTATCACCTACTACAGCTATCACAACTTCACATGTTTTAAATACATACGGCCAAATTGACCCAGATATTAAGTTGGGCATGTTCTTGGCGTAAAATTCCAAGTACTTCATCTCCTTCTGGTAATTGATCTAAGCAGAGCTCTATTACCTAACAAAATGTAATATCCAAATTAAAAAGTATGTCTAGGTAAAGTGCATCAGTGCATCGGCATGGTAAGGCATTTAATTAGACAAAGTGTAGGTGAAACATTCAATTTATTATAAATTTTTAATTGACAAATGGCTAGCGTCCGACATTTTATCATATACGTTACAAACAAGACACGTATTGAAAATAACATGAACAAAATAAAGCTAACAAGATAAAAATAATTTAACCAGAACAAAAAAAAGGATAGCCATATATGTGTCGCATTATAGAATTAATTTTGATGTATTCGATTAACACGAGCATAACATTCTGTGTATATACAGATGCGTTGTATGTGTACGCTTTATTGCACAAATGTCCCTGGTAGAGGTTAGGTTCACTAAAACGTCTTCTTATCACGATTGCCGAGGAAATTTCAAGGTGCGTTTAATAGACACGTCTCACGACACGCTTAAGTGTTTCCCAATGTCTTAATAGTAAGAAATTTGAGGTTCAAAAGCAAGAATATTCACCTCGTCTGTATCACGAAGTGGAATCTCTATGGAGCCCGCCATTGCGGCACCGTCACTGATTTTCACGTAGCGTGGCCAACAGATGTCCCATTGAGTGAATGCAAGTGATTGATAAACACGTCAAGGCACGCGGTCCGTTTGAAATTGTAAGGGGTAGGTTTTACAAGCCCTCTGTTTACTCAGAATACCAAGTATAAAGTAATCCTTGAATACAACGTCTTACCATCTAAAAATCTATTAACACGTTGACCGCCAAACGAATATTCTTGAAAATTTCTGCTAAGATTAAATATTATTTAGACTATCGGAGTCTAGGTAATGAAACATTTATCGTGGTATTTAATTTTGTAACCACATCAAAATTCATCAATTTCATTTAGATTCATCTCCTGTGATGTCTAACTTTTAGAATTAATCTTTCTAGTTCTTGAGTGAAAAACACTGTCACCCATATATGGGTGACATGGCGATCAACGTGTTAAATGTGAAGGCGGAAATCGAACCATGTTTCGCATTCGTTTAATACTTTATTTCAAAAAAATATACACAATGCATGAAATAACCTTTTGATGGACGATATGGACGATACAATGTAAGTTCTGCGCAATGTACTCGGCGAACGAAATCTAGTCGAGAGAATCATAGTCAAATAAGTATCAACGATTTATACATGTATTACTTAACAACGAGAAATTAGTCAACGTTCGTTTCTGAATCTAGTATCTGAATGGAGTAACAATCGATTGTATTACTCTTATATTTTACAAACTATCTTGAACAACAAGGATATATAATACTTATATCTCGATAAATATTCAAATCAGCAATGAGCATCGCGTTTGTATCACTGATGGATATTAAAACGGTTTCATTCTTAGAAAAACGTTTTGATTAATCGAAGGGAGACGGGCGGGGCACGCGTTAACGTGTGTTACGAACATAATCGACGAAGACATATCTATTTGTCGTTAATTGGGTAACATCGCGTACCGGGGACACCGTTATGGCTATCGTCGGTTTTCAAATTTCTTGTAAAAGTTTGAACACGCCTCTGAATCGTAGTAGCTTCCGTAGAATGACGTGAAGGCTGTGTCCGAGCTTACGCTCGGTGGCAAACTCGTCGCTTCCATTGTTTCCCTTTCGCTTTCAAGGGTGGACGCTCTTACGTCCAGGGTACCGCTTGCGCCAGACATTCCCGAACTCGTCGCCATTTCCACCTCACCGACGTCGGGATGAGACATGTGTCTTAAAATGACGTCACTTTAATTCACAGTCAATTCTTTGTTAATTTCTCGTCAGCTGTAGAGCATCGTTAATGGTAGTGGGATTTAGGTAGGGGAGAAACTATGTCTGAAAGATGCAAGGGATTTGAGCACCGCGTGTTAGTTGAAAATTTCACGAGACTTAAGTTTTTGCCGCAAAAGAGATTCCATATACGAAACTCTATGATAGTATAGCCGAAGAGAAGAAAGAATGAACAACTCGGTTGTCTTTGTCACAATCTAGTTTTGAGATTGCCAAGCCTCGAGACTCCCGAGTCTTAGTTACTATCATGGGGTTTCATTTAGTAAAAGGTACACTAAATTCTAATTACAATGTCCCTATTTCTGACATTCATTTCTCTATTCCCTCTTTTTAGTACTCAACCCTTTGCACTCTAGGTCTTTTTTTTCTGGTATCAAACAGCAACTCGAGACGCTTTCTTAGCATTCTATTTCACGAATGATAAGCTTAGATTGACTTCGAAGATGTAGCCCGATTGTTATTTTATTGACACTTCGAGTTTCAAAGAAATTAAACCTAAAGAAACATTATTACCGGTAGATTTGCGTGGGTGTAGAAAGTATTCGCACACCGATCAATTTCTAAAAAAAAATATATATTCTTTGGAAATCTCTAGACTAGATACAATACAAGCAAAAATTAGTTATTTATATGAGTTGCGAAATTAACAAGAAAAAAGAATAAATCGACAGAAGTATACAGGTAACCTAGTGGTGACTGATAGATAGTCACCTCTCGAGTGCAAAGGGTTAAAACTCCAATTTAGGGTGTATTTGGAAACTGATTAACGTATACATGATGATGGTTACCTGTAATCTGGAGCAGGGAGTTCAACGTGCTGTCTCCGGGTGTTCGACGACATGGGTGTCCTCTTTATTGCGTAAATGTATATGCCAATCATTGTGAGGGCGTACGACACGAAATACAATGCGTGAAACTGGAACACACGGGGGAACGTATTAATATATGCACACGTGTATTGTGCAGAGTCGGTGCTGACAGTTTTGTTCGCAGCATTTGCTTGGAACACGCGTGGAAGAAATTAAGAGAGAAAAACGCGAGAATCTCCCTTTACGTCGCGACGTTCGGGAAGAGCTGGCTCTCGAATTGAAAAAGGTACCTTGTATTCATGGATCAACATGCCGGCGAAAACGCTGAACGAGTCCGCTGTCAACAACGCTAGCTGTAACGCCGTCGCGCCGGACTCGAACAATATAACCGGCACCAAAGAGAAGAACACGAACTGCGTGATGCAGTAAATTATTAGGCATATAATCAGCGGCGCGTCGTGCCAGTGAAACTGCTCCAACTTCATACTTTCCAGCACGCCGCTGAAACAAAACCAGCGACGATGTAAACGTTAAAAGATCGAGGGAAATACAAGGCAATTGTTTCTTAGTCTCCCACGGCAAAAGAAGAAGACAATTTTTCGCGCGAGACTGAGAAGAAATTGTGACGTAAAGCTGAATCAAATACTCTCGCTCATCCAAACGGGACTTACATCTGCAGACAGCTCAGTATCGTCCCGAAGAAACCGATCATGCCTAGATACTCGATGATATCGACGGTCTTGACGGCTAATTCCTGCAGCACCGTAGTTATCGAGAACAGTACCGCACCTGCGAGGCACAGCATGTCCCCGACGAGCTGATTTTTTCCTTCGCGTAAAGAGTTTAAAATTAAAAAAACATCAGCAATCGAAATTCAAGCGATTCGGGGCGTCGCTTACAAATTTCAAGCATTAGCAAGCTTAGCATTGTTATCTTAATTCATCCCGAACAAAATTTCCCCAATGCGAGCTGAATGGGTACGCGTTAGATGAAAAGACGATTCTATGATCACCTATAGTCGCAGGATCCTTATTGTCCTCGATGCCTGCCCAGACCAAGCATCCCACCCCCATCAAACAAACGGAAACGCCGACGATGTGCACCATTCGGTACCTCACTCCCAATACCAAGCACGAAAGTGCCAGTGCGACCGGTATGGCGACACAGTCGAGCAACTGAAACAGATTTTCCGGTGTGAAGCGTATCAACGTCGCTTACCATCATTAAAACTTCAATGCCGTGCAAACGACAATGACGAAGTTTGCGGAGCATGCATCTCGTTCGATCGAGAATAGCCGACACGGGGGGTGAATGTATTGGGTCGAAGACCCAGCATCCACCTTTGGTGGTGGTAGTACACTCGATACAATAGATGCTCCGTGCCATTCATTACAGCCACGAATACTACGAATGCTCCTTCAATTGACGGCTAAATGACAAAGGGTTCGTCGACATTCGAGTGCACAGGTTGTTTACTTGAAACGCTACTGTACGGAGACGAGGAATTAGCCAATGAGTCCGATTGGCGTACGATTACAGTATAATCTTCCAGATTATATTAGCCACTTATATTTGGATGGTAGACACTTTAGGGGAAATACAATTTTTGGTTGGGTAATTGTAAGTTACGAAAGTAAGCAGTTTATTAATCCTTCGCGGTCACCCGGGGTCAAAATGACCCCCAAGCGCAACTTTAAGCTAGAATTACTACAAGTTATTAATTTTATGAAAATATATTAAAAATTGCCTGAGTTTTGATTGTTTTAGTAAAAAAAGGTTTTTTTTTACGCATTGTCCTCTTGCTGATTTTTTTTCACCATTTTGAAAATTTTGGGGTTTGGGACCCCCTGTGAATGACGGCGCGTTATTTTCAGAACATATGGACCTCGGAGGGTTAAGTATTTCGACTTTGTGTTTGAGATCTGGTGATGATATATGAAATGTAATATCGATCTAGAAATGTTACGGATATCGAGGTGGCAAGAAGAGAAGCAGAGAAAATTTCCTCAATTTTTAGAACTTCGTCATCGTTTTCTGGCGGGGTGCAACGCTCAAGTCTCGTGTGACTTAATTAGCGCATACCTGTATGCTAGCTAAGCTGGTGAATCGATGCGAGGTTGTTACAAGTGTGCATGCTTCGACGTCAATGAGTGCCAACAACAAGTACCTCCATCCTCGGGCCCTTATGACTGAAATTAGGCCGTTTCCCACTTTTCTGCAGGACATCCAGGTTGTGTATACAAGGCACATCATAATGTAATGAGGAAGATTCTGTCCTGTCTCGCAGAAAGGATTTTCCAGCTCGTGATACTGTATAGTGCTCGATCAGAGAAGGCCAAAATTATAGGAATAAGGAAAACATTATTCCACAGTTAAGATTTTACAAAATTTCATCAAAAGATATTAGTTCCTTGTAGAAAAGTATCAATGGCCAAATATCTGAAGTATAAACACTCGTGATTATCATTTAAAACACCGTAAAAAAAAAAAAAATGGAAAGGATATACGGAACTATTTCACAGTTCCTCTTATTTTTTATTCATTCGACAACGAACAAAAGGTTCATTGTTTGTTTACCTTTTATCTGTTATCCGAGATTGTTACGAGGATAATAATTTTGTCCATCTCTGCATTCGACCCATTTCCGCCTGGCATTAATCCAACGCTAACGATCGTTCGTTAATCACTTACCGGTCGGAAGAGAGAAGTCCAACGTAGTGTTGATGAAATGATTTGCGAGCGTCATAAAACACAACACCAGGGACAAGAACTGTCCCATTATTATCGCTCTCCATACTGCCCTGCGAATACACAGAGAAAATATTCAAACATTTCCGCTGGTTTCGTGTGTTATTTGCATTATCGATGTATTTTTCACCGCTCGTCAAACTGGTTACCTCGAACAACACCGTTTATTTTCGACGAGCAAATGTGTACTCGACAATCGAGTCAACAAACGAGAGTACACACTCGTGGCAAAGTTTACCGACGGAACAATTTCAATGAAAATGAATTAAAACAAACGGAACACCGACCTGTGCACTTTCCAAAAGAGAGAAGCTGAACGTTCATTCGGACGTTGCTACATTTGAATTGAAATGACACGATAGGTAAACAATTTTGTAAAATTCATTCGATTACGCGGATATAGCAAGAAATTGTTTTGTATTCGAATAGTAAATAGAAAATTGATATCGATTCTGTGCCGTTTCTTAAGGGCGAGCGATTTAAATGAAAAGTTGGTAGTAACAACGCAATAAAATTGTTAGCACAAAATCAGAGTATACGCGATTAAAATAATGCGTTTAAAACCGCGGAATTACGAACACGAGACACCAACGAGCCGATATCGTCGTTTACGCGTTAGGGCTAAGGGATAAAATTGTTCGCGAACACCCGCCACTTTTATCCTCGAATTCACCCCCTCCCCCGCGTGATTGGCGCCGTGTAGCCGGTTCTTGGGCGGATCGACGGTTTCCTTGGAAGATCCCTCCGGCTGGCCGATCCTCCAGTAATTACGTACCACTGTCCGAGCTCGGATATGTAATTTTCGATTTTGTCGCAGACCCCGTTCCTGGCCTGCATCGCCGTATTTTGGCCACAGCGACGATCGCCTGCTGACACTCCCATGCAGTGGTGCATTTCCGCCCTGAGGCTCCTAACCGCTGGTGCTAGAATAGGGACGCATGCGCGACCTCTTTCCCTCCAACGGGACTTCCAGCAAGGAGGGACTTTTTCGTTTTTCCATACGCCATGAGAAACTGCGTACACCGTTGTGTTGTTCCCCGACATCTTTACGTTATTCTCGAGTTCGCATCGATCGCGTGTCACAGGACGGAGGATCGATGGACTTTTTACAGTGCGGCCCATTCCCAGCTGCTCCGCGACCTCCGTTTAGATCGATCGATCGTTCAGGACGAACAACTTTCTTCGACTTTTCAGACGATCCGACAAGATACGAGATCCCCCGTTAATTCGCGCGATCTCGCGGTGTTTTACTCGGTCGATTTTTGAAAGCGGTGTCGTTGAACGCTCTGGCAGAGAGTAGGTGACGGAGTGGACTTTCGGCGAGTAGGAAAGGTCAATCGTGGGGTCGATTTCGAATGGGACGTCGTTTTCGAGGGTTAATCGATGCTCTTGCCCTCGTTTGACGCGAACAGTAATCGCTTCAACCCAGGGGAGGATACCAAGAGATGATAAGGAAGGTGTCACTCAGGCCACTAGCGCTCCATCGATTTCCCGTCGACTGTCCACGATTTCTCTTTGATCGAATAGTTTCGATCGACGCGCGCTTGTCTGAATCGGGACGTCGAACAGGTTTGTCCATTAATTTATCAGGAAAACGAAAGAGAAAAAGAAGGGTATTCTGAAACTGCTTCTTTTAAAATGAAATAAAAAGTACGGTGGTAACGAATGATTAATTGAATCTTGTGGCAGATTAAAGAAGTATGTCTTTCTTTATTCTCAGGTAATCTCGTCGTAGATCGTTATTTACAACGTATTGACATCTTTGATTATATCGTAATTTCAGTCGTCAATGATCATCAAAAAGGTTCCCACGTAACTCGTCGAGAATCTTTTCGGAATTTTATATAAACTTTAAACACCTTCAACTTACGTAATTATCTTATGTATGTATATCTCAAACATTACGTTAATGAATTAAATCGTTTATGCACAAGTGTTTGTGGTCGCCCCGACGTATGAAAAGAAGGCAATCATATAACGTTTATGATAAAATGTAAGAATTTGTGCAGTCGGTTCCCGTGATCGATGATTAACAACATTTTGCAATTACCTATCTAAGGAGGAAACTGTTGGTTATACGATCCAGTCACCCTTACAAAGTTGGAAAAATAGGTTGGAAAAATATTTCACCAGTCTCCCAGCTTGTTCGCTCGTTCGCGGTTTCCTCGACTGTGAACGCGAGTCGACACGCGATTTCACGAACGATTAACGCACTCTGGTCGCGGCTGAAGAACTTGGTGTAAAGACGTTGGGAGTAATGATAAATGTCGAATGTAGAAGGTAGACGCGCGTTCGACGTTCTCAGTCTGTCCGCCGGCGTACGAGCGAGAACGTAGCTTCCTAAAAGTTTGTTCTTAGGTGGTCAAATGTTATTAATGCGTTCGTTTTTGCGTGTAGAAATTAGAAACTACGATTATCGAAGACGTTTCAGGAAAAGATATCCTCCTTGTCGAGTAACGATCGATTGGTCGTCCAGACGCGCGTACACGTGACGCTAAGAATTTTACTTCTTCTTGGCTTCGTCCTCTACCGCTTCGTTCTGCTTGCGGAAGCAGTCGCCCACAGGGAAGAAGTCCCAACACCTTTGCTGATACATGTTCCACACGTAGGTCTCTTGACCCGTGTACTCCGTGTCTGGTTTGTTGATTAAGTGCATGAGGAAGAACCTGAAAATAGCGATAAGGGAATCGACCATCCGATTGACTCTATACTGTGGTATACATTTCAAGGAAAGTAATGATAGGTTTGCTGTTATGGATAAACAAGTTGTGATTGTAAATCATGATTAATTGTAAATCATATTGTGGCATCGATGACTCACATATAATTAGCAAGATTATGCTCCTGTTGAACGTGCGTATCGAATCCATGGGGAACCGTATCAAAGTATTCTTTGCCTAAGCCACAGATGAAGCAGTTGCTTTCCATGTTCGTCTTCACGTTCTCGAGCTGGTCTCGAAGCTCACCGAACGCGTCGATGATCAAACCTGACGAGGTACGAATAAAATAGAGTTCCGGTATATAGATAAGTACATATGAGATGAAGAATCAGCAGCGGTTAATAAACCTGTCGCCACTTACCCTGAATAATAGCCAGCAGAATGACGATAACGAAGAAGAAGAAGGTGATGTCGAACATGATACGATAGACTTCGTAGTCGTCACCGTCGGGTTCGCCGATCTCGTCACCGATACCACCGCCAGCCCTGACGCCTTTGTACAGATGGAACACGAAGCACTGCGACGAAAAACCAAAATTGAATCTCAGGTTCAGGAAACACATGCGAAGCACATACAAGGACTTTTAATTCGTACCGTTAACATGTCGTGACATTTCTTGTCCACCTCGTCGTCTTCCTCTTGAATGTAAAATTTCCTAAAGAAGTTAAACGCAATGACCGTGTATATGTAGACAACGATTGTCAGCAACATCACCGTCAACACCAGTTGTTTGCCATTGTGCGTTACGGATTGCAAGATCGTTCGTAGCGTCTTGAATCCAACCGCCACGTCCAGCAAATGTGCAGCGAAGAAGAAGTTGTTGTAGTTCCCGAGGATCGAGAATATGAAGTACCACAAACTGTACAGAAATGCCTGAGGAAAACCAACACGTAATGTAACGAAGAGGGCTCGGTGTAGGGCCGTTTACAATCTTGATCGAACGTTACTCACGTTGTCCGTGATGGTGACTCCGGCCTTCCAAACCTGATACCTCCAGTCGATATTTACAATGCTGAAAGCAACGAACACTGTGTTGAAACAGAACCCGATGGGTATAGCTTGCGATTCTAATTCCACTTACAAGTGTATCAAACCAGAACCCTCTTCTTCCTGTTGGCTGAACGAGGTCTTCTCCATACCGAGCAGATTGCTGATGTAGTCGAAGTCGTAGGTCTCGCTGTACTTCTGTCGAACCTTCTTCTTTACGAACTTATCCCAGTAGTTTACAGGGAACGTTTTCGCCGATATCACCATCTTGTCCCAGTGTGCCTTGATGTCGTCCTCTTCTGGCGTTTCTGCGATGTACAGACCATCGAATTCCACACGTCGAGCGATTTCCTTCTCTCGTTTAAAGATAGCCAGTGGGACCTGAAGTGATAACGTACACGATTCCATGAAGACGAAACTCTGAACGTGAATTGAACAATATGGAACTCGTCAGGGTCTCTCCATACTGTTGAGACTCCGACGCACAACTTCGAGATACATAAAACACTCGTGCAAGTATGAAAGAGTATCCCTACCTTCAGATGATAGTAAGCTACCAGCATGGCAAGCGAGACGATCGAGTGAAGACAGGCCATCAGCCTCATAACATGAGCCATGTAATAGAAATCTTCAGACACTTCCACGTATTCCAGCGCGTATGCGTCCTCCTCTTCTTCTTCCGACTCGTTCTCCCCACTCCCGCTGCCAATTTCCACCCCGCTGCCACTTCCGGAACCAGATGGCCCCTCGCCAGACATGTCTGCCAATATGTCCGCCATTACTTGACCGCTGCCTTCCTCGTCCGACTCGCCAGCCAAAGACGACACCTGCGGAACAATTTATAGCGTAACACGAAACGAAAGTTTCACCATCGCCGGGTCCAAGGTTCCGCGCATAGAATCGTTCTTGCCTTGTAGAACAGTAGCATGAAGTTGATGCAGAAAGCGAGAACCAAAGCGACGTATTTTAGGTTGTAGAAGTTCCTGGCCAAGAAGGATACAATGCGATGAGTGTACTCGGAGAAGTCTATGCTGGACGACGAGGTTTCCGTGGTCGTTTCCTGTTTCGCCTCAGCTTCCACCGCAGCCATGGCCGCCTGTTGCGCGGCTGCTGCTTCGGCTGCGGCTGCGGCCTGGGCTCTGGCCTGTTCGCCACTGTTCGCGAGCAAAGATATTTTAATTTACGTTCCTGATGACAAGAACATTGCAAAATATTCTATCATACCCCAGCAAGTCGGCTAAGGAAACCGGCTCCGATTCTCCAGTTCCAGCTTCAGCCCTAGCGCCCTCTTCGCCACCCGCCTCTTCCGGTGTGCTTTCCCCAGTTTCCTCTATGCTCGATTGCGGAGTCGAAGCTGCTGATTCGTGAGGCGCGATCTTTATCTGTCCACCTTCCTCTTTCGTTATGTCCATTCCAAAGGCTTGCACCTGTACAAGGATTAGGGATCTCATTGGGATTAGAATTCATTCACCATAGAGTTCTCATTAACCCTCCTCTCCTACATTCGGGTCAATAGCGACCGATATATTAGTTCCATCATTAGGTTTTTGTATCGTTTACACAACCGTAAAGACTAAATTCAGTGAGAGTGAAACCACCCAGCGGTTATAAATAAACATTCATTTGGTTTAAAAAAAAAATGTTTCTTTTTTATTGAGTAATACTCCTGTTTGTACGTGATAAATGCGTTTTTAGGTGAAAAATGACCCAAAAATATGGCAAGGTCGGATCCGATCCAAACGCAGTAGGAGAGAAGGGTTAACACTTGTCGAGATAGATAGTTAAACCTGTAGATTGGATTCATCCGGTGTAGGTGGCAAGGCGGGTAGATGTCTCGAGGGTTTCTCTTCCTCCTCCTTCACCTCGACGACAGGTTCCTCCACGTGCGGTCCTTTCATCAGTGCCAAGAGTAGCCTCATGAAGTAGCCAAGTATACAGCCAACCCCGAATCCCGAGTAGTAGAACGCGTAGAATATCATTTTGAAAAAGCCAACGAAGAGTTCCAGTATCGTCATTTGTTGCATCTCGGCGATCTTGTTTTTGATGTTGCTGGGCGAGAATATGGAGAAGAAGAAGTAGATGCTGTCCTTGAAGGTTTGGATGCCCCTCCTGATGGGATCCTTGTTCCTTTCTTCGTCGTCGTCCGTCATGTAGGTGTAAGAGGACTCCCTCGCTTTTCCAATTCCTCCGCTCTCCTCCACGGCCATCAGGGCGCTCGCGTGTTGCATTTCAAAGATAGCGTCCTCGCAGAAGTTGATGAAGGTCTCCAGCTTCTCCTTCTCGCCAGCCTCCACCACGGTGTTATAGAAGTACGTTCTCTTCGACTCCTTGATCTGTGGCTTCTCCCATTGCTCGATGTTGGACTCTTTAATCTCGAAGTACACTCTCTCGATCTTTTTGTTGCCACCCAGGATCTCGATCCTGCCCAGGAATGGCTCGAAGTAGTTCAATACCGAGCCAGCTGTCTCGAGGAATCTGGCCAGTCTGGGCTCGTTCGGCATGTGCTCGGACAAGTTGGTCAGCAGAACAGCGAGATTGAAGCCGATCTCCTTCGCTGGCTCGTGGAAACGATCCATGAAGGCGACGTAGTCGATCTTGCCGTCGTGGTTTGTCTCGCAACAGGCTAGGAGAAACTCGATCTCCTCGCTGAGAAATATTTCTTTTTGTAGTCCCTGATCTATCTAATCATTAACAATGAACAGTTTGATCGACTTACTCGGTATAGCTCTTCTGTTGCTCCATCTTCTCCTTGAAATCCTTGGGGTAAACCCATCCGTCGCTATTGAGATCCACCTCCAGGAAGCTGGGCGATGAAACTAGGTCTTTCAGCTTCAGGAACATGTCGAAGTACTTGAGGATTAGCTCGACGTTGCCCGCCGACTCCACCAGCGTGTCCACCATCTGCTTTCCGATCGTTCCGTTCACAACGTTACCTGCGACGAGATTTGTTACAAAGTGGCAATAAATGTAGCTTGAAATATGCGAAGTACGATTTCGATTCGAGAAACTATACCTTCCAGCATAGACAGCATCATGGTGATCATGTCCTTCTGCAAGTTCAGCAACTCTTTCAAAAGGTCCACTTGACTCGAGTGCTTCGACAACTTGTCCTGCATGTGGGAGAACAAGAAGAGGAATCCACCAACGGCGTCCCACAATCGAGAGTGAGCCAGTGCCTGTTGATTCTGCGCGCAAGGTCCTTGGATCACCTCGGTGAGGGTGTTGAAGACTTGGCTAGCGACGCCTATGGCTTTGAAGAAGTTAGCCTTGCCTGCGGGGTCGATGAGCTCCTTGCTGGAATAATGCCAGTAGAAGTCCATGATGGACTCTTGCAGTCGCAGAAGGTAATCGACGGTGCAGATGACCACGTTCACCGTCGTCGTGTTGCCAGCTTGCGTCCTCAAATAATTCTGCCAGTCTATGAGCAATAAACACTCTCGATCAACATATCCTACATTTTCCTGAAGGCACGTAACCTCGGAATAAAATTCAACGAACCCAGATTGTGGCCCTCGCAAGTGAGCTGGATGAATCGAAACAGGGCACACGTGAACTCTGCGTCGTGCATGTTCTTCTCTCCTGCGGCACCCTCGGAACCAACCCCAAGTCCTTCCGCTTTCGTGTTCCTCTCGAAGGCGTCCAGATCCAGGACACTGCACGAGTTCATCAGACCAGCGATGGAGGTGAAGAATCCCACGTCTTTCTTCTCCTTCAAGTGGTTCAGCATTCCTCGCTGGATCTCTATGTTACCGCCTCGTAGGATGGAGATTCCTAGTTCAAGGGTCTTCATGACCATCTCGCTGGGCAGGCCCTTGCAAGCTGATATGTGAAGCAGCACCATCTCCGCTACGCCGCGATTCGCCAGACGCGTTTGATGGAAGAGAAGCTTCTGTTTCTCCATTTCTTGCTCCTACAGGAACAATAAAAAATACTCTTGTAAACGCGTCCTTGGATTTCGAAGTCTAAACGTGTCTTCGGGTGGCTTACCATGAGTTTGTACATGGGCCTCTTTAGGAGAGCGTTAAGAACACGTTACAGAATTAGTTAACAACGTTATCAAGGATCAAGTATTGGGTGAAATGACGGTCAACAACGAGGAGTGTAACGGGGACATTGAGTGGAGTTTGAAGTTGATCGGGGATTCGTTCATCTTCGATGCAAGCATGTTTACATGTCGTTAGGTATGCGTGACGGTACATGAATAAATCGTAATCGTTTATGCTGTACAATGGAGGTAGCATTGCATTTCCAAGTCTGAATTGAGGAACGTACACATGAATGCGAATGAGTTTCCGCGATAACTACTTATTCTTACCATAAGTAGCTTATGTGCCCGCTTCTACAGGGTTCGTACGTGAGAAGAAGACAGGAAGTTGTTAATAAGTTTGAAACACAGTGAATAGTCTTCCGTTAGTTTCATTTTTAAGCATCATGTAAGTAGGTCTACGTATTAAATTGTTTAGTAAGAGAGTTTTAAGTTGCCTCGGAGATCGTTTTTCGAATACTTACGTGGATGGAGGCAGCCCCTTCCTCTTCGCCTCCTCCACCTTCGTCCTCGCCTTCCTCCTCCTCCTCGCCGCAAGACTTCGATATGATCTGCGCGTAACTCATGTACAAGAGATCCTCTTGGAGGGCACCGGACCGTTCTGTCATGGCGCCGCGACAGAACGTTGTTACCAGTTGCGTGAGTGGATCTGGCTTTCCCTCGTCCTCGGCTTTGTCCATCTTCTTCAGTTCAGCGTCCTCGAAAGATTGCTACGGGGTAACGAAGACACATCCAGTGATAATTACAATATCGACACCAACCAAGCCATTTTGGTAGAATCAATGTCTCACCGTAAGGTCTTCAATCATCACTTCTTGACCGACGTTCTCGTCCTGTAACCAGAGCTCGTAGTACGTTCTCGCAAAAATATTGATAGCCCGATGCCTGCAATAACAAACAAAGCAATTACGGTTTCCTGTATGGCGTGCCAGTGCGATGAAACTGTTACTTTACCTTCGTAACTTGTAAAGCGGCTCGCTACGCAGACATGCAATTGCTGCCCTCTTTCTGGCCGCGCACAACACACGCTTCCATCCATCTCGAGATGGTGGAGGTTTCGTTGCCTTTTAGCAGCATGCACACACAACTATACTTGTTAGATAACTGACGAAAGAAACGAAGGAAACGTCGTCCATAATCGACGTCAATCATCGCTACTCTTTTACACAAGCTCTCACGGAGTCAAACCAACCGATGTACTGGTTACCGGTTTACGTAAGGATAACGTAAATTGATAAGTAAAATAAAAGAAAACAAACTTAACTTTTGATTCTATGCAACAAAAGCTTAAGGAGCAGACGGTGAAATCGATTTCTCGTCGATCACGCCCGAAGCAAACGCAAGTCTTGCGGAACACCAGTAACGCGATCAAACCAAAAGAGGATACCTGGGCAAGGAATGTAGGGAAGTTTGACGGAAACAAGCGATCACTGCTCGTTTACGTTGTATCGACACCACGGATCGATATTGACCCTTGCTCTGCTGTTGCGGATGATCTATCTACTCGAGAACACAAAATTACTAAATGAATCGATCGAATTATCCGACGAAGCAGCTTTAGCTATCCGAGAAACAGTGATCGTGGATACGTAAAGTTCAGTGTAAGGAGACGATAGTTTCCACTTACCATGTGTAGACCGTAGAGAACTTTGGCCATATCGGTGATTCTCGCGACGACGTCTTCCAATTGCTGCGCTTTCACTGGTTCCATGGCGTCTTTCTTTTGGCCCAACTTGGAGTACAAATAATGCTGCCAGGACATTTCGTCGGCTGGGTCGATTTTGTCCGGCAGAGTCAGCTGCGTTTTGGCGAACTCGGCGATATCGTATTCCGGCATCTTTTTCAGGAACCTGTCCTTGCAGTGCTGCACCAGTTCCTGCTCGCGACCAGCGAACAAGTTCAAGCCGACCGGCAACAGTCTCTTCAAGCAGGCAACCATTAACGAGGCTTGCACCTCCTTGTCCTTGTCTCTCTTCTTGTCGCGATGTTTCTTCTTTTTCTGTGGAACAAATCTCACGAATTAATACGTATCTTCTTCCTGCGAAGAACCTTCCTAAGGCACCATTATGTTACCAACCTTGCCTCCACCAGAAGGTGCAGTTCCATCCGAAATAGCAGCGGGTCTCCTGGTCGCTGTTGGCATTATGAGCACCATGTTGTCGATCTCGTTTGCGGATATGAAGTTCTGTTCCTCGCGCAAGAAGTACTGCGACTTGGACCATATGTTGAATATCGCTGCCACGTGATTGTAGAGGTCCTCAGCCTCGGAGATGTTGTTCCTCAGCCAGTGGTTCCTTTGTAGATCAACGTACTTGATCAGAAGAGGGTAGAACGAGTAGATATCTCGAACCAGGAGTTGCCAGTCCTCTTGAATTTGAGCTTCGACCTGCGACGTGTCATCGGTGGACGATTTAATGAAACCTCGAAGTGATTCTTCTTTGTGGAACATGTTATCGGTGCGCTTCCTGACACGTTCAGCGAGTGGCAAGAACGGATCCTTCAGCAGCTCCTCCGACGAATTGATGATGATTTGCTGAGTGTAAGCGGCGATACGAGTCATCCATGGGGCATTCTCGTTGCCAATGTTCTTCTTGGTCAACTTGAGGACATTTTTCAGAAGCTGGTTCATGTGATCGCTGGTGACCATGCTAACGTACGTTCCCTCCGTTGGGTTCACGTTATCCGGACCCTGCGCCCACCAGAAGGGCAGGTAGGAGCACAGCAGAGGTAAAATGACATCAACCACGTGAGGAAGATCGTTGTAGGTCTTATCCGATTCGACGAACTGATCCACTTCTCCCAGAATGGTCTCCAGTGTCGGCATGCTCGACTCCATCTTCGTCATTATATCCTGCGCCTCTAAGGAATGATCGGCGATACGATTCAGAAGGGAGAACTGATTGTGCTTGTTCAGATGCGGCTCTAGGAAGGCTACCGGGAAGCAACTCGAAAACGCGCCGAGACAGGAACCCAAATTAGGCTTGTGACGCTCGATCTCCGTCTTCAAGTACTTCCTATCGTGCGTCAACGAGGAGTCTACGCCGAGGGTGTACAGGGATGCCAGCATTTTGTAGGACGCCACTTGAATTTCATCCACTGGGAACAAAAAAATAAAACGAATTAATTATTGGGTTGTCTGGAAAATCCATGTCGATTGTTGGTAGGTAGTACAAGATTGGTTGAATACAAGTAACATGTCATCCATTAAAAAGTGAAAAGATTGTGGAACAAAATGGTACCTATATAATTCAATAAATATGTATCAACATCCAAATGTGCCTTTGAATTTTTCTTAAAAATTGGCACGAACTTTCTGGATAACTCACGTAGAAATCGAATGTAGAATCGATCACGACACACGAATCCACCGAAACGAATGGTCTACTTACGCAACAGGTCGCTGCCATACTCGCACGCAGCCAGATGATCGAACATGGCCGTGAGCACAGGTAGCACGACGCTGTTGACGTACGACAAGGACGTGGAGGTTTTCAAATGTGTTCCTCTGAGGTGGCTGTACTTGCCCTCTTGAAGATTCAGAATCGTGTGGCCCAGGTCGTCAGCAGTGTTGTTGAAGAAGGTCAACATGGACGTTCGAATGAACTCGGGACAGTTTTTCACCAAGCTCTTCGCGTCTATGCCTTTGACTAGCACTTGGAGACAACGGACGGTGATCCTGACGTCAGGGCCGAATGCAGCTAATCTAGATCGCAACAAGCTCGCCAATTTGCAAAAGAGAGCTGCTACCATTTCCTTCTCCTTCAAGGACGCGGCCCCGACGTTGTTGGTGGCTGTGGCCACGGCGATAAAGTAATTCCTGTGCGTGCTGAAATATTTTTCCATCAATGGCAAAACAACTTTGCTGAAGAATTTGATGTCCCTCGTGGACGTCTTGAAGCTGTTGCGTCGACTGAACGTATCGGACGGTTTCAGCAGCTTCATGTTAATAGTAGCCTTGTCCAAGTAAGCTATCAGCTTCTCCAGCAACGAATAAGCGAATCGTAGCTCCACTGAGGCTCCGGCAGTGGCGACCTCGGACTCTCCACCTCGATTGGGTTTGTGGAGCTTGTATCCTTGATACTGCAAGTATTTGAGGAATTCCTGGGATCGTTCGCGGTCCTTGCGTTTCTCTTTGTCGGTGAGGAGGTCGTAGGGTACCAATTGGGGGTGAATGCCACCTCCTACGAAAGGAAATGCGCTTTGTTAACGAAACTATCTTCTCTAATCTTGAAGAGAACAATCCTTTTGAATTTTCCGTCGACACGAACCGCAAGTGATGAGTTCCTCTTTCTTCTTCTTGGCCCAGATGTCGTGTGCGTTGTCTGCGAGACGTTCAGCCATGTTCTGCATCTCTCTGCTGAGGGTCAAGTTTGTCATGTCGACTGGGTGAGGATTGTAATTAAACGGATTTGCCGAGTCACCCTGAAATGATATTAAGACAGCGTGACGAAGGTGTCAATTTATCGAGTTGGATGTTCTTGAACGAACGACTTACTTGACTTTTTGATGATCTCCTCATGGAACTGCGATTGGTCGAAGGTACGTCCACCTCTGCGTGTTCGACGCTCCATCCTATAGCCAACAGGGCCTTCAAGCTCTCTCTGACTGGCTCCTTGTAACGTTCCCTCTCGTAATCGTTCAGCATGTTGTAGGGTTTCAACCTAGGATGCGTCTTATTCGCATCCGACCACTGTTCACCGTAAGTCCAACCGTTCTCTAGCTTTCGACTTGCCCAAGCGTCGTGATAGTGCTCAGAGAACTTCTGTACAATCTGGTTGAGGTCATTGTTGAGCACCACGCTGTAGAATATAGAGAACAATAAATGAATTGCTAACTAGAAGATTCTACGCAAGTTTAGAAAAAGTGGTGTAATACCTAGACGTGTTGATTGGCTGTGGATTGTAGGGCCCATCGGGCGACTGCGTGGACGCTGATTTGCTCCCATACCACTCGTCGTCATAGTTCTTAGACAGGGAGTAGTCAGGCGGCAAGGCGCAGCCAATGGCCGTGAGACAGGGCAAAGCCTTTCCAAATAATTCTGGATCGTAGTCCATCTTGGACAGTGAGTCGAATATGTTGCTGAAGAGGACCATGGTCAAACGTTTCTCTTCGTCGCTCGAGGCACCGTACGCGCCCTGACCACCCGTTGATCCGTAGTATTTCGCGCAACGATCGTAGTGCAGGGTCAGCAACTGTTATAGAAAATATAAATTTAGTTTGCTTAAAGTTAACAGGAAGACATAAATATTTTTTAAAATGGATGCCTCGCGTTAAATAATAATTAAAGTATTCTAAAGTAACTAGCTCACCCTCAGAGCAACGGTGGTGTACTCCGACAGCTTGGACACGTCTACGGTCAACTTTCGAAGTAGCTTCAACAGCATGCTTGGTTGCATTTGACTAAAAAGACCGAGAAATTAGGAGGAAGATCATTGCAATCGCGCAACGACGATAACGAATACTATAAGCGCCGAACGCTCTCATAGTTTTATATCTGTGACGATTATCGTAGAACGGGGGGGGGGGGGGGGGGGATAAGCGGTTTAAAATAATATTGGTAGAACTTACGAGACATTTAACTCGTGGACTTCTCTTGTTAAGCAACAAAACGATTCCGTTAATCATTTTAATCGTGTTTCAAAGAAGCTCGTGTTTACCTGGTGAGGGCGACTAGGAAGTCCGACACGGCTTCGCGTTGACCCTTCGTCAGCATCCTGTTCTTGCTCAATCGATAGACAGTGTGTAACGTCGCGTCCAGCAAGCTGGCGTAGTTGTCTGCCTCGTTGTAGAACTTGGAATGCTTGATCAGCAGGGGTAGAATACTGTTTCCGATGTAACGGTTCATCGCTAGGGCCATGTCGGACTCGTAACCATCGTTCTAAAGTAACAATAGCACTTTTAGAACATTAAGGAAAAGAAATATCGCTTGCAGCGTCTACTCACTCTGTCGAGCATTGTAGCGGCCCTGAGGTCAGGGAGGAAGGCTTCCTCGAGTATCTTGAAGAACAACTCTTGCGTTTCGATGCCGTAAACGCGCTCCAGAAATAGCACGACACTTTGCTTGTGCCCTGGGATCAAACCAGATGGCATGTCGCTCTTTGGCTTCTCCTCGCCAGCAGCAGGATTCAGTAGAGTGAACCTCAACGATAGGACACCCTGTAGATCGTCGAGGGGCACCAGAGAACGTAGGATAGCCCTTGCTCGCAGTGACTCGTTCTTCCCTGAAAGGTGTGCTCGATCTCAGTGTCTTTCTCGAAACGCGATCTCAAGAAAACAGAAAAAAACTTATATTTCGTATATATTACCGACGGATTCTGTAGAAGCCTCTGTTGCTCGGTAAAAAATAAACACTCTTATTAGATAAACAATTCTTTCCAGTTACGACTTTCTGTGGAATCATGAAGGGCTTTTTGATAAATTGGGTCACACTAGAAAACGAAAATAATCGCGTCTACTGATGTGAAAATCTACGAAAAATTGCAGAGCTAGATCTACGATTAAGCCATGATACTTACGACGTTGGCATCGAATTTTTGGTAGCTCCAGTCTCACTTACCTTGCTCGATGACGGATGAATCGGGGGCGCAACGACCTAACAGGTCTACCAAGGTGCAATAGAAGTTCAAGATCGCGGCACCGGTGTCTATGTAGTCCTCGTCGTCGTCCGATTCTGGAAGAGGATGCTCGAATTGGGCCACTATTGTCCCCTCAGCTTCGTCGTGTACCTGGTTCATGGATCGATTGGATGTTCACGTTCAAATTTTGATCTGTATTAAAGATTCTTAACAATCACACGTCGCAACATACTTGTCGCCGGTCAGCAATGCGTTCGGACATCTTGTTGGCGTCTATGATGGCTCTCAACAAACCCTCGCCCTCACCCCGGAGGGCCGGTCCCAAGCATTCTGGTCTTCTGATCAGCAAACGTATCACCAAGTTGGCGTTTTCCTCGACGCTTTCACCTGGAAAGATAATCAAGTGATTTAAACGTCAACTTGAGCGATCTTCGAGGTTTCGCTTAACTCGCAATTGAAAATAAATTCGAATCTCACCGTTAACCCAAACGCAGAACCTCAAAAAGTCCAAATATCGTTCGCCCTCCACCGGATCCCATCCCAAATCGGGATAACCTTTCTCCACCAGCTCTGAGTTCGATTGCAACCCGCAACGAGACAAGTAGATGGCGATTTTCTCGAGATAATGCTCCCTGAGAGCCAACGCAAGCTCCGTGTTCTCCATGAGGGAAGAGTAGGCCACGTCCAACGGCGTCGATCCTCTCAAAGACGGCCTCGACAACAGGATATTGCTGTTCTCCAACAGGAAGTCGAAGTGATCGAACATCGCCTTCTGATTCTGCCTGGAAGTGCGGCAGAAGTAACAAAGGAATCTGCAGCAGGCCACCACCATTTCGTGGGAAGTGTCCTTTTCCTTGGAAGCTGGTTCACCCTCCGTGGTTTGGGGCTGAGTTTGAGCGTCAGATTGCGCCTGCGCGCGTCTGCCCAGCGTGTTCATCATGATTGCCATCACGTTCTCGTGAATCCTCAACACTCTGATCAAATCTGGATGTTGGAAGAACGTGTGATTGTTGACCAATTTCCAGAGTCGTTCTCTAACCAGCTCCTCCTCCTCCTGAGACATCTGGACAGGCAGCAACGCGCGGATCTGGCTCAAACCCACCCACATCAAGGCAGCGTCGTCCCTCGTTTTGCTGTTGATCACGTACGTCTTCTCCAGAGCTCGGATCAGCTCGCCCACTGTGTCGTACTGACGCACTAGGAGGCTGAACATCTCGCGTACCAACTTTGGAGTCTCGATTTGGGATTCCTCGGCCCAGCTGACGATGGTCGATATCAGGACTTTGCGGAACACCTCTGTAAAATATTGCAAACATTGCTTTAGCGATCGAGAATCAGTCGATAGAGGATAGTACCAGATCTATTGCCTCGAGATCTCACCTTCTGGTGTCTTCTTTTCTGGCTCAGGTTCCGGTTTGGGTTCCTCCTCTAGTTCTTTCACAGCGTTTATGAAGTTGAACAGTCTCTTCATGGCGCCAGGCTTCTGGACATCTTCCTCTGGTTCGTTGGCAGCGTCAGCTGCGTCTTGAAGAGCGTGCAGAGACACGTAGGACATCAGATTGGTGTGGAATTCGTTCATTCTGCTTATCAGATCCTCCCCACAGGGGATGTTGTCCGGATCATCCTCGAAGTCCATGTTCTTGAAACTTAAAATCGAGTTCATCTGCTCGCGAGGCGGACACCGAAACTCCTTGGTCTTCTTCGCTGCGACTGCCGACGGCAGGTCGGACTGCTTGATGTCGATGTAACGACGAAGCTGGTCGGACTGCAGATCCCCGACGAAGTCGTGACTGAAGGCGATGATGGACTCGACGCGATGTCGCAGCTGGATGTCGTTGAGATGGTGGAGCAGGTAGCACATCTGCAGCTTCGCTCCCTCCGCCATTTTCATGTGGAGCAATCCCTTCTTGTGCTCGTCCTTTCCCTCTGAAATTTATTCCCATTGTTACGTCACTGACACTGTCGCACTATCGATGGTCTAAGCACTCTAGAAATATTCTTCTAACCTTTGTCGAACGTTGGGTCCCAGGTTTCAGGGTGAATCATGATGAGAAGCTTCATGATATCTTCGTTCCTAAGCATTCCAACTAGGAGTAGTCTGTCAACGAGTTTCAAAAGCGGCCTGTAAAGCAAAATCACGTAATCAGTGGGAAATAATACGAACAGATCCGAAGCCTGTAGCAGCAAGCAGCGCGAATTATCCTGAAAGCATCTTCCTTCCTGACGCGTTATCGTCGACGGAGACTTTAATCATGCAGAACATAGCCCAGGCGTGCGCGTGTTCACAATCGTACATACAGGAAAAGATTCTCATTGCTGCCACCGATCGGGTCTCGATTGTGGACTTGATTGACCTCGACGGCCTCGTTTAAAGCCTGCATCACGTAATCCCTGACCACGTCCAGGGGAAAGTGCGGACTGTAGAGGCTCCTTATGTTCTCGATCGTTTGGTCGCTGGAAGGAATTTCCCTTGATGTCGACTATTAGTCAGGGGGTTCACGTCTAGTTTTGGATTAAATACACTTACCTGATATCCGTCATTTTCATCTGAGGACGAACGGACTCGGTCTCCAGGTACCTAAGGCTGTGCCTCATTTCTTCGTTTTCGTATAAGTCCTTCAATTCTTGGCCTGGAAACAGACGGAATTAACTTCCTATAAATGTTTATAACGATGGAACTTCTCGAATTCGAGGTGGAAAGAGGAATTCCTTACCTAAAGGAATGATGTACTCGTTCTTGCAGACTTCCATCGTCGTCGCGTGCGACTCGAGATGCAGGGCGATTAGCAAGTCGTAGAATCCTTGTCGCAGAGGCCCGGACATGTACTCCGCTCGAATAGCGTACAACAGTTGTTTCTGGTCGACGTGTTGGCATAGGGCGTGGGCTGCTCTGTAGTTCGACTGATAACACAGGGCTGCGTACAACGTCAGGGTGTGCGCGTGGAAACTGCAAGCAAATAATACCATGAAACGTCGATAAATGTTATCAAATTCGAGTTGACAGAGACCCAGTATTCAATTCCTGGACTCGAATTTTACCTGAGCAGTTTGTCCATCTCGATGAGCTCCAAGATGTCGATGCACCTGTCCTCCTCAGGAATGTGCAGAGCCAGCATCGATATCGCGTCCTCGCACAGCATGGACCAACCTCTAATATCGGAAAGCTTCAGGGCGTGCACCTGGAGCGACTGATTGGGCACTCTGGCCCATTGATGAGGTTTCAAGCACTGCACCTTCAACCTAGGTGGAAATTGAGGAATGACGTGTCGCTCAGAGTTCTGCAAAACGGCTGCAGACAGCGGTAGCGTCGTGGAGGTTCTTCCCAGTTCGATTTGGAGGATCTCCTTGCTGGTGGCCTCCACGAAGATAGCAGGGAATAGTTTCGTGTCAGGCTCCATCTTGAACTTGTGGCTCGTCTCTTTGCCTTCGCAGGTGAAGGACACCCATCCCGTTGCTGTGTCCACGAAACAGCCCACGAACATCCCTTGCGAGGCACCCTTTCCTGAGGCGTCCTGCGTGACCTCGTTGTAGAGTTCGTCTGCTCTCACCATGTAGCAGCTCTGTCTGTCCACTCTACAAGGAAAGTGAGGGAATCGTAATATTGAATGTTTGTAAGGTACAGGACCTTGTCAGAACTTTAGAAAGTAAAGGGTTCGAGGTCCGTGGAGCTCTCAGAGTATTTACAAAACATTGGTCGGGTACCTCGAGTTCTTTGGTTAGACTCAACCCATTCTAGCACCTCAACTAGCAATTGCAGAAGTAAGTGGTTGAAACGTACTGTTCTATGGGACGGTCGTAGTCATCGGTGATGACCACTGAGCCCTTCCTCACTCGAGACAGGTTGAAGTCCTTGGTGTGCAGGTGATACTGAGAGGTGACCCAACCCACGTAAACGTGAGTAGGGTCCTGTCCAGGGAAGATGCGAACCCCGTAGAAGTATTCGTTCATCAGTTTCAGGCACTCCGCGTCGTATATCTCGTTTCCGATCGCTTCGACGCCAGATCCACTTAGAACAGACATCGCTTTCGGCGCGTTGCGCTCTGGGATCTGCGGTGGTATCACCTTCAAATCCGTCTACAACGAAATTAGACTACTTAGTTTGCACGCTGGAAGGAGTATCGACTTTAAGGAACAGGTTAGTCGGATCCAGATGGAGAAAATAAATAAAATAAATATTTTTACGTTTGATATGCGGACTTGGGGAATCCGGCTACTTGCTTTATTCAGCTGTAGAGTCTTGGTGCTCTTGTCGGAGACGTCGGAGCGCACTGGCGGCTCGGGCGTTTTTGCTTTCGCGTCCGGAGACTTCGCTTTGCGCGAGAAGAACCTGGAAAATTTTGTAGTAAAGTATCGCTTGATGGTACGGATGAAACTTGTAATATCGAAGTGAATAAGATCGAATGCAGTGGGTATCAATTATCGATTATTCGCTAAGCAGAATAGATTCGAGAACAAGATGATTTATAGTAAAGGAAAAGGAAAGAGGAACAAATCTTTTGACAGAAAGTGCAAGTTTACGAAGGGTTGTTAGTTAAACTTACGAGCCATCCTCCGTCTCTTTGCTAAGTTCGCTAGGAAGATTCAAATAGCAGAATCAATTCGTCTCAAGAGTTGATAAAAAATTGATCACTGATACTAACCGGAACGGCGAACGTCCACGTTTCTTCTTGTCGTCCTTTACGTCGCCATTCATGTCGCCGTAGCCGTTCATTTCTGTCTCGCTGATTGCGTTCTCCATATTTCCAACTCGTGAGCCATACAGAGAACCTTTCCTAGGAGGCCTGGCTGGTTTGTTCCTCTGCATAGGAAGCGGCGATTCCTTCATCATTTCGTCTGCTTCCGCCGCATCCTCTGAATAGTTCCTTTGCAATCCTAAGTAGTTGAAATTTCATTAATCCTAAAGTCTTGGCAGATACTTGAAAATTTAAACAAATGTGGAATCGTATGACTAGGATGACGACTATTTATACCTTTAATGTCGCTCATGCTGAAACCAGACTTCATGATTTGCTCCATCTGAGCAGAGGGTGCTGCGAGTTGTGCTTGTTCCACTTGCTCTGACAACAGCCTATTTTGGCGCATCTTGATCTCCTGCCATCTTCGCAATTTCTCGCTCTCCGAGATAAACGTGGATTGACAGATGACTGGCAACGACAATCGGAGGAATTCCCAGTTCGCCTTCTCCATGGTCTCGAAGGTGTTGTGGGAGATCTTCAAGCAGGGTGGAGTGTCGGAACCAGCCGGTATTCTGGCGACGTCTATCCTCGTGTCGGCCATGTCGTCGGTGTTTTCGAAGATCGGTTGATCTTTGGTGAACCAGTACGTCACTGGGCGGTTCATGTTTCTGAAAGGTCGAGGATGGACTGTCAATGGGTTCCAAGAACAATAGAAGGGAACGTGGATTCGTTGAAAAGATTTAATAAGGGCTTTTTGAAAACTCTGGATACTCGTTTAACTTTCGTACTATTCGAAAAAGCGGAGAGAAAGTTTATTCAACTTTCTTAGGTCGAAATAAAGACGTATAACTTAAGGGGTAACACCACTCTAGAGTACTATAATTATAAAACAACAATTGTTGTTTATACTTCGATGTGTGTTAAATAAACCCTGTAAAAAGAAATCCTATTCCTTTTGCGACACTCTCAAAATTAATTATCAAAGTTAGGCCTTTATTTCAACCTCTAGAGTGGTGTTACCTCTTAAATATATGTAGTTTTCTATCCAAGTTTTCTCGACTGTTTAGACACAACGAATTACTTACACGCAGAATGGCTCGTATCCTTCCTGCAAACCACAAGTTGTAAAGAACTTGAGAGTGTTTACATCCTGCCCAAACGTCAATTTCGCCTTCTGGCCAACTCCCAGTGTGAAAGCAGGAACAAAGCAATCTCCCTGCACGTCAGCGAAGGACGTTTCACCGCCAAGCGCGTCCATCAACAATTCTCCGTTCAGAGAAAAGCCTGGATGACATTAGATTACATTGATGGCATTGCTGGTGAAACTTGTAGAAATAATTACCACTAGCGAAAGACTGTTCTAATTAAGAAAGGTAATTTCAATACTGCGAAAACTAATTTTAATTAGGAATGGCACTCAATGGCACTGATGCATCACGTATCCGATTAATAGCGATTAGTATCGAGCAACGATTCTTAAGACACAAATAGAAAACAACTACACAGAACTATGCAAAGCAAGTGCGATAATTAGTCGAGTAGAATGTTACGCATGCAGACTGTAGTGGTTTGAAATAATAGAAAATATAAAAGTTGGGTGATTCTGTCATCGAGATGTGTTGAAAAGAAAAAGAATAAAATTCGTAGATTTGAAGGGAGGGATATAGGGTAGTCAATGTCGATTCAGAGTGGGACTATTTTAAATCGTTTCGTAAATTAAATCCGTTCTTGAATATTACTCACTGTTGCTTTTATTTTTGTTTCAGATTTTAACGTCGTTCTGCGGCAAGCAAGCAGTAAATGAGCGCATGGCAATTTTACAGAAAGTTGGGGTCACCATTGTATGTAATTAGTAAGTATGAATAATATGAATTACGAAAGCGCTATTGTCGCTGACTGTACAACACTGACAATGAGTAGAATACTGGATACCAAAAAAAGACAAGAGCTGACATAAAGCTACATCGAATAGGATGTGATTTTGATTAACAATGAAAACATCAGGGGTAAGAGGTTTATTGTGCTATGAGACTTGAACGAAAGCGCTGCTGGCGGTGACGTGAGTGGGTGAAAGAAAAAATTGATAACGACGAGTACTTGCTCTTTCTGCGACAAGCAATTCACAGAGACTATATTTTCGTTCCTTGTGGTTTTGCTGCTAAGTTTTGGATGATAAAGCGTACAACACTCGCGTCGACTGTACAAAACACGACGAACGAATCAATACCCGAATGTGAATTGTTTTCTGATAGCAACCGAAGGAGATTTCGTCGAAGGTAATCGGTTAATTTTTGGGTCTCCAAATATCGTGTTGATCATGGATTTGTCTGACTTTTGGGTATCCGTTTTCGATCGAAATAATGTTGGCGCCATGTTTAGAATGTCTGTATCCAGTAGTCTATCTCTTTTACTCAAATTATACGTGTATATATAGCTTGAAATGGCAGCTGAAGCGTTCGCTTAAAGATTCCGTCTTACTAATCGTTCGGTCAATTAGATCCAGGAATACCCCGACAACGTCTCCAATCTGCCATTGTTTGCCAAATGTTTCGGCTGTGCCCGAGTATACTTTTTCCTCCTTTAAAATAAAATTTCACCAATTCAACACTTCACCATTCGTGACGCAACATGAACCGTGGACGAAGTTGACTTAACGTTAACTAAATAAACTACTCCATACGTTGGTATCGTGTGCGCGCGAAATCCCGATTCGAAGAGGGAAGAAACATACAACACACTTAATCGGTACACTGTACAAGTAGCTTCGAGAAACGAATCCCTCCGCGGATATCGTCGACAACGTTCGAGATCAAACCACACGTACGAATGAAATTTCCCATCGATTTCATTCACCTCGGGGACAAGGATGCAGAAAAAAAGAACAACCAAGTCAACATGAAATAAACATATAGAGACAAAGACAATAGTAGTAGACGTGAAAAAACTCAAAAAATGGTGGACCTTTCTAGATCGGTTAAAAAAATTGGACTCTTACTGATCGTTCTGTCCACGACGTCAATGAAACATCCAACTATGTCGCCCACTTGATATTTGTGACCAAACGACTCGTGGCTACCAGCGTGTACTTTAGTCACCTGATCAGTTCACGATGGATAATCGATTATTCATCACTTTTTTCACGCAACCGTCGCTTAACAATTAACTTCACTGATAAAATTCTTATCTTACCGTGAGACGCTGTTGATCGTAAATGTATTCGATTAATTCTATCCGCGGTTAGACAATTCGCTGTTGCGAGACTGACTTTGCAAACTGTTCGTTCGATTATTTGCGAATTGTGGTAAATTTAACGTTTAACATTGATTCGATCACAGTTGGAAAAATGGTATGGAGGACTTACGTTGTAACCGTCGAAGGCCCAGGTGTTTTCGTCGCTTCCCAGCATGCTTCCAGGCATGCAATCAGCTTTTGCCCAACCGACGCGCATTGGTCCAGCGGTTAGAACCTCGAACTCGAAGTACCACTTCCCGCTGCTCACTGCGTAGTGTTTCTCGACTCTATAAGTCCTGAAGGATGATTGCCGTAGTCTGCTGGCTTCCAAAAGTAGTGCTGTGGAAACGTTCATTTATTTTATATACAAGAGAACCTCTCGGTACAGTCAGAAATCCATGAACTTGCACTGGTCAAATAGTAACCTCACCTTCGTGCTGTTCTCCAGTAGGTGGTTCCAACATGTACCCATAAACCAACAGCGTTCTAACAGTCTCGCTAGCTGTATCGCGATTAGCTTTCTTGATGGCTTCGTCCACCTTTGGATACGGGACTAAATGGGGGCTCCTCCTCATCTCAGAGTCTTCATTAAGAGCGTAGGTCCATCCCTGGCTGATCCTCTCCTTGGCCCACAAATTGTGAGTGTTCTCCGCGAGCTGATCTACCAGTTCTTCCATTTTTGGAGTGAGGGATATCGCGGTGAGATCCAGAGGTGCTGGCTTGTACCCACTGCTCTGCATGAAGGGCTCGTTTGGTAGTCTCAGAGTCTTTATCCTAGATGGTGGCTTGTCCATGGTGATGTAGTATCCCAGGGCCAAGATGGTCTTCAACGTCTGTACAGCCAGTTGAGTGTCGTAACGCTTCTCAGCGGCTGGCAGCCTTTCGAACTGTACGATACAGGGATGAATCTTCCTCAAGTCGTCCCTGTGCTCTCCATAGATCCATCCAGCCTCGATCTTGTTCATAGCCCACATCTCGTGGATGTTTTCCGCCAGCTTGTCCCTTATCTGCTCGACGTAGGAGGGTAGGTTGATCATGGACGTATCGACGGGCGCAGGAACGAAAGCAGTGTCGTCTTCGACGAGCCACGGGCCAGCCAAGACGACTTTGTTCATGTTTCCAAAGTAGAAGCAGGGATCCAGCGATAGAATCTGCTGGGGAAGGAGACTCTCTACCAGGGGTGAGAATTCCTCTGGTGGCTGGAATTTTAGTCGACCGTGGTCTCCTCCCAGGAGGAATCTGCAGGACAGTTTGGACGAGCAGCTAATCGAAGGGAAAAACATTCCATCCAGGTTGAAATTTCGGAAGGAACCCAGGATAGGTGCTCCGTTGAAAGTAAACGTAATTATAGGGACTGTCAGGTCCAATGCGCATCCAATCACGTCGCTTTTCCTGATGTAAGGCTCCGTGGCGTTGTGCACCACCTGCGTTTTCCTGCCACCTGTCCACAGGTGCGCTCCGTCGAAACCAAACGAGTAGAGGTCGTCGCCAACCCCGTTTCCACCCCATTTTTCGCCACCACCAGGGTATGGCATGTATCTAAATAGAAAATAACAATTTCAGGAGGAATATCAATCCGATGACCCATTGGAAGAGGGAGAAATTAGTATAGTCTTTGTGTACATCAGAATTGCAAGTTGGCGTAGTGCTCAAAGAGTTCTTCAGAAGAATAAATGAACATACCCCGCGGTGTTCGCCCAGCCAATTCTCAAGTGAGGCATCATGTGCGTCGTCTGCTCGATGTGATCCACGGTGACCTCAAAGTACCACTTTTGATAAAGCGCTGAACCTTCCACTCTGCCCACGAATATGTTGGGCCTGATGCTGGCCACGTGGTCGACCAGTTGGGTTTGAAGGAGAAGATTTTTCCCTGGCAGCAGAAAGTCGCATATATTGTTCTGCGACGAGCGAACCGCGACGCCGTTACCCACGCACAGCGAGCAGAGGACGTCCAAGACTTTTGGATCCCTTCCGTGCTTCTCGAGCAGCGAAATGATGACTTTTATGTGCTCGTCCTGTGGAGGAAAAATACTTTGTGTTTAGAGAGTCGTTTCATTATTGTTCTAAGGATAGGGGTGTGAAAAGGATTACAGTCAATAGTCTTTTAATTGAAGGCTTGCGTGCAAGACCTAATCTCATACTGTCTCCATTATTGGATTTTGATTTGAGTACTCAACGACCTCTCAAATTGGGAACTGCTGTTTAACACGTTGGGTGCCAAACTACTCGTGAAAATCTGTGTGAGCTTGACACTTTGCTTCTACAGGGTGTCCCAGCCTAAGTGATAGAGAGCTCTAACTCCAAAACTATCGGGCGAATGAAAAATTTCAAATATGGAAATTGCACGGTAAAATGGGGCTCATGTTTCAGCGCGAAAGAATTTTTGTTAACTTTGTTATTTAACGTGATATGATGGGCAAGTTTCGTTTTTCAAATGGAATTATATATTTTTTTTTTATACCATGCGATAGTACTTTTCAAGACGAATTCATCAAGCTTTAATGTATTACCCGATTTTTATTAGTTTTCAAGCTATAACGCTTCAAAGTTTGGTAATTTTCAAGGAAAAATCACGGTTCGGCTCTGGGCGATCCCATTGATGCAGTAAGCACCATGCGATTCTTGAAACCAATATGAGGGTCTCGCTTGGGAATCTTTGACCAGAATATTGGGATTCTTTCCATTTTCCTTCGTTGGGCCTAGAGCCTAAGGCCTAAGGCCTAAGGGTCTCGACTCTAGAGCCTAAACCACCGTTTGAACCTTTGGGAATGAGAATATCATGGCAAAAAATTTTTATGAAATTTTCAAAATGACGAAAAAAAATCAGTAAGGAGGTAATGCGTAAAAAAACATTTTTACTAAAAAAAATCATAACTCTGGAAATTTTTAATATATTTTCATACAATTAATAACTTATTGTAATTCTAGCTTAAAGTTGCGCTTCGGGTCATTTTGACCCCGGGTGACCGCGAAGGGTTAATTTATTTAATTCCTCAGTGAAAAGTCCTGTCACCCATATAAGAGTCAAAGGCTACCTAAAATATTTTTGTGCTCACCCTCATCATGTTCAACGCCTCCGGCGAGTCAATGAGGACACAGTGTAGCACGTCCAGCATCCCAGTGCCTTCGCTGGAGGCCTGCGAGCCCAGTCGGCTGAACAGCCAGTTGAGACGATTGCTGTTGGCGAACTGGGCGCAGTTCGTGTGGTTTCCCTTGATGATCGCGGCCAGTAATTGATACAAGTATCCGGATATTTGGTCCCAAGCCTGGCCACTCTCGTCCCCTGAAAGTGCCACGAGGAAGCCCTGCGACGTGATCACGTTGATCTTGTCGATGGCTTCCAGAATCAGATTCAGTATGCCCTCCTCTTGGAATAGGTCCTGACGGTTCCTCAAAGCGCGGAACCTGTTCTGTTTCTCCTCGTGTTCTGCAAAAATCAACGCGTTTTCCAAGGTTCAACGCCACGCCCGATGATCTCAGATATCGGTTTGTATCGACGTCGTGGAAACGCTTTCTCTTACCCATGTCGTCCTCGGGTTGAGCAAAATAATTAATCAAGTCTTCCAGACACATCACCATTTCGTTCAGATTGACATTTTGGAAGAACATAGACGCTCTTCTATCTACTTGCAGCGTCTCTAGGCCTCTAAAACATATTCGGTCCTTTTAGCGATCTGCTTGTCCATTGTTAATTTATCATTCGGTTTGTAACGGCACTGTACGGTTCCATCCAAGCCTCTACCATTCGTAATTTTATATTTTAATGTGAACGAGTCCGGTACACTTGATCGATAGACACTCACGTGATGAACTGGGTGAACAAGCTGCTGCACTTTCGTATCACCCGCGCCGTACGCGATTCCTCTTCTTGCGAACGGGAGAAGTCCAGACCGTCGTCCATCTTTCCTTCCTCGTGGAGGACAGCTTGCTTCTCCTCCACTTTGCCCACGCCTTTCTTCTTCGTCTCGTACGACTACATACGTCAGATTTAATTAGAATTAGACGCAATTAAGGCGTAGGTGCGATACTTTGATTAAATTTTAGAGCGATTGCAGCTTACTGCATCGACGATCCTAAGTTTTTCAGGGAGGACTTTCAATATTTACCTTGTATGAGACCCAGAGACACGTAGTAGCGTGCTGCATGATGACAGTGGAGTCACCGTACTTGATAATCGGCATACCGATGACCTCGAGGTCTTTGTCCTCGAGAACGATCTTCTGGTCATCTTTCTCCTGTCGCAGCCAGAACGTCGACGTCTCGATCGTCGCCTCGTTCCTTCAATCCCAAAAAGTATGCTCATTCACGACAAATTCCACTAGCACATCGCTGAACGTTTCTCAAAATAAGTACTCACCTGTCGACCAGATATAGTTCGTTGTTTTCTTTCACACCGAGATAACGTCCAGTGGTAAGGTGCCTGATTCTCATAGGGTGCAGCCAATTGATGAACCCACCCGCCCATTTCGTCCTCGCCAGCTCTAGCCTCCACAAAGATCTCGCCTGGCTCATTACGCTCCCTCCTTCGTAGATCACTATACTGTAAATCATGTGCATTATGTATTGGAAGCCCTACGGGCATCAGGTTCTAATCGAATTATTGGCAAAAACGGCTATCTAGACGAATACCACGATAGCCGTGGTAATTTTCGGAAATTTTGCATCGAAGGATCGAAGCTCTTTGATCTTTGGTAATTGAACAGAAAGGGGTCGATTAATGTGGCGATCGTACTCGATGGGTCTCGAGGTTTTTTTTTAATAAATCTTGATGAAACAGGTTTGAAACATTTCAGGACTAATTAAAATTGGTATTCGTCGCTTTATCCGATGCACAGATTTTTAAAAATAGTACATGATTTCATGTCGATAATGTTTCACAATCTTCTACGAAAACCAATCCAGAGAAATGATTAGAGATGTTCACTCATATATTTCAAGGAGAACTGGATTACTTCATTTGAGAAATCCTCGAGATTTGTATGATCATTGGGGTGGGATTAAAGCGATAATTAAAATTTACTTTTGACTGGCCGCCGTACTCCAACTCGACGGTATAGTGAGGCATTCGTCACCGCCGTGGAAGAACCGCAGAACATCACCGCCGAATACATAACCGACATACTTCATTCGACTAATTCCAGTACCGTACGGCTGTACGGACCAGTGGGTCACGTGGAACGAGGCATTCACGACCGACAGATCGTTCTCTTTCGTGGTGTGCTGAAAGAAACGAGATACGTTGATCGATGGCACGAAATTTCTGGCACGACAAGAACTTTGATGGATCAGCGGAGAAGTGGTTGCGTGCAGGCACAGAGCCAACGAAATATATCGATTCTTTCCATTAAAGTGCTCAGAGAGATTATCTTCAATGAATTTCGTTAGATTTCATTTCTGTAACGCGGAGGAAAATCAAGTTTGAATTCATATTTTTGCAAACTATCGAATCACTCGACCGATATTGTATTTTTCATCGCTATTTAAAGTATAGTTACGATGTTCCCAAAGGATCAATTTACCAAGTATCTTTCTGTGGCCACGGATACCAGAATGAGGTCGTCACCAACTCGAACCTTTTCACCCTCGGACCTTTGTTTCGACGCTGGATGAACGGTCCACCAGCAGGCCTCCCCTAAACGACCGATATCGTGCTTGAAATTACAAGATCTAATGCAAATTCTAAGCGAATAATGTTTCTTTAGCCAACCTTGAGAATGTTGTTGCAGACCTACGTCGAAAGCCAACTTGTCGTTGGACGAACTGGTCGATAGACAAGCCAAATACTGCAACGAGAATGGAGTTACTTAGTCTTTAAACAAAGAATTATTATACATCCTCTATGGATCGAATATTCACCATGTCGCTGTTCTGATGCCTCAGCAAAATGGCATTGCCGTACAATAGCGTTCTGTGTCCAGATCCGGTGCCTTTTCCCTAAAAATACAAACGACCGTTGCAAAAAAACGAAAATGCGTCCATGATGGGCCTAAGATGTTCATAGGTCGAAAATCGATTAAAAGAAAGAAAAAAAAACATAAATAAAGGTAAATAAGCGGACTGATAAGAGGAGGCCATAAATAACGATCGCTAACGAATAAGCTCGAGGGGGTAGTTTGGTAGATTCGGATCAGAAAAGTTGATTTATGCGGTATCCCCTTAAAGATTTAAGCACTGGAAGCATCATTCCACAGAAAAGAAAGAAATTAGCCACTTTCAATAATAAATGAATAAATCTGCTAGAGGACACCATAAAAAGTATTATGTACAAATTCATCATTCTTCAAGCCCAAAACATCAGACTGCCCTCTCGAGCGATAAATGTCGAGCATGTTAAATTGTTACACGAATGAAACATAATAGAATGAGTATTTGCGAATGCACGTGGCAACGTAATACAATCTCTCAGCGTCAACATAAAAAGCACAAGAACACAATCGAACTGAAAATGAACGAACGATCAAGAGTAACAGAGAGAGAGAGAGAGAGAGAGAGAGAAAATAAACGAAAGATAAAGAGAATAAAAAGAAACAGAGAAACTTAAGCGATTGATGTTACCCAAGCACGAACATAAACTGGTGTCCTGAAGTGACAACGGAAGGTATACTTACTAAATTTTCTTGCTGCTGCAAAGAGAAACATAAGAGTTGTAAATCTCGTTCTTTGCCAATTGTGAGTGTAAGTGAATGGTGGTGATTGATGAAAACACGCCCTACGATGGCGTTCGATAGGTAAAGAATCGTTTTGCGAACGATTCTCGTTTTCTTGCGTGTTGCGTACGCTTCGCAACGGAACAAAAAACAGACGTACAAAATTGGACAATAGATGAGGCCGGTGGGGGCGAAGTGGCAGGACAAAGACAATGCGAACAATGAGAGACAAATTCGTGACTGTTACACGGCTACATGGACGCATGCCACAATTATTGGATAAGGGGTGCGTGCGGATGCATTCAGAAAATTGCTCGTACGACGTTTGCCAAAAACGAAAAAGAAAAAAAAAGAAAAAGGAAAACAAAAAATCGCCGTGGAAAAATGTACTCGTCGACAGACCGTGACCGCGAGTAGACTACTTTCTAAGTGCATCGTTCAAGTTTAGTGGATAATACATTCGTAGAAGAAAAAAAAAAAGAGGACAGCGGTTTTGTTGATTAATCTCTTCTGCGTACGACACGTGATCGAACAAGACTTTATGGCCCACTCCTATGCAGGTGATCTACGTACGGTGATTTCATTTTTCTTTTTTTTTTTTTTGTTTTTGTGTGTGTGACATCAAACGCACGACGCAAAAGGAGAGTCCTGTTCGTCGTGTGATTAGGAAAGTTCGCATTTAAAAATCCTGTAAAATCGTCTCTTTTCTTCTCGTGTCGCGTCACTCGACAAAAGAGAAAAGTTGCAAGAAAAATGGAGCACGAACGTCTGCACAGGAAAAACAACGCAGTGCCGGTGATATTCGCTGAAATAACGAGCAAGAGAAACGCAGAATTGTTTCGCTGAGTCTCGCTGTTCGAGTCGACGGTGTATGAGAATCTTCGTAGGGTGTAGGGCGATAAACAAGTGGTACGTTACCGTCTCGGAACCGGCGGCAGTAACCAATTCCTGCAGCGCTCTCACCGAGAGAGCCTGCTCGATTACGAATACGCATTGCGACAGGTCCGGCGGTATGTTCTACAATCACAAAGCAAAGGGACATTATTGGACTACATGATCCAACAATAACGAGGATCGATGCTTGTCAAACCTCGACGTAACTGTTATTTAGTGTTATGTTTCGACTCTAGAAATAGCCTAATATTCTTAAATTGAAAAGGAAATTATTGATTGACATTATTACGGTACGAGATTCAGGAATAACAAAGATCGACCAGTCTCAACGTAACTGTTGTTTACTCTAACATTTTGCTCTTGGATTTGAATCTTCTATTCATTTGAAAATTCTTAAATTAAAGAAACATTTCATTAAAACTACTGACGGAACATACTGTTGATTATTAACGTAAAGAGGATTTACCTTGTCTGCTATGTTCTCGAGGAAGCAGTGTCTGTTACCAAAACCCTCGGCCGCGAGACAAACTCTTTCACCAGTTGCGGTGCAGGACAGACACACCATGTCCTCCTGCAAATTTCATTTCAACATTGATATTAATAATATAGTCTCGTGAAGTCTCACAAGGATGATGTAAAATAAAAAGCGATCCTTTCACAAAGAAAAAAATTAAAATAAAAAGTTCGAAAGCAATTACTTCATGTTTTGAGGGCCATGAATGGTTTCCATCTTGGATAACCTAGGTGAAATTTTAAATAAACCCAAACTTTTAATCATTCCTTATAAACATTGATAAAGATATCGTTGCGCCGGGGAGTTGAGCAGCGTGATATATTCATTTTATAGCACAAGATTTATAAAAACGAGCAATAACACGAAAAAAATAACTATTTCCATACAAGGAATTCAGAACGTCTGTTCAGTTCACGAACTTTGCAACTTCTAAATATCGCGCGGCATCTTTGAACCGTCGCAACAATATTAACTGTATTTCAACATCTAAAGCCAACTCTTTCCAACTGGTTCTCAGCAAACACTGATCTGTCTCTGAAACCACGTTACATCAAAATTTCCGTCGAGCAGGAAAGAACATATATGTATAATTTATTTCAAAACCGTGTTTCTTCACTCGTGTAAAGTAAAAAGCCCTGAATCATCCAAAGCACGACGACCAACCCTCGGGATTCATTGTGGTGCAATTAGAAATAATAGTTGACGAGACCGATTCATTGATGCGTTTGAAAGATGGAGAGCTTGGCGACGACCTTTGCGAAACGTCGAAATATGATGTTAGCCAAACGGTGGATGGTACGCACGGTGCCAGAACCAATTTGGACACGCTCAGGAATGCGTGAACGGGTTTACACAAGCATACTGGGAAACGCTCCCCGAGATTTTCGACGAGGACTGTCAGACCCTCTGTTTTCGCTACGCAGACGACCGAGACGTGTTACTTAAGAGGCTGCAATCCCACTCTAAGCATAAACGATGGTTATGAGTCAGAGCCTGCTCAAAATGCTTACACGATTTTGCATTCAAATGAAACGCAAACTACGGTGAACCTATTTAGATAAAAACATGTGGAACAAACATTTAAAAAACGGATCGATTATTTCGAACGTTTGTAGCACGCACAAAACAAGATATTATCTCTCGATTGATCGTCCACACTTTTCATTCTTCATTTATTTCATGCGTTGCACAATATATATTCGTTAATAACAGAGATATTGAAATACGATTTAGGCACTCCCCTGACAGTGTAAACTTAACAAGGTTATTACTATCGACGAGGACCTGTCGTGCAGAGTTAGCTTCCGAAGTTCCGTGTCGTTTCTCAATTTACAATTCGCACCGTCGCGAAACGCCGTTTTCATCCGGCGTTGTTTTGCATACTTTCACGCGGATAAGCCTGGCACGCGCGTGTCCGCTTCTAAACGCACGGGAAATAACGAGCACGTTGCATAAATAATGCCTTTTAGAGGGCAAATTAGCATAGCCCACGATGGCACGTTATAAGAAAAGGCACGCGACTCATCCGCGCTGGGAGCGTATTCGCATATTCGCGCCTCCGACAGCCCCGGGCGTCGCAAGTCCTCGACGGAAATTCGGTCGACGAGGGTAGTAATTGTGCTCGAGAATCCCGTCTCGAGAATTCTCGAGATTCTCTAACAATTTTCCGTTTCCCTTTTCTCGAGAAAACAATTTTCCAACCATTTTGGCATTCCCAATCCGCGAGGAAAAATTTTCGCAATCTTCAGAATATTAAAAAGCATTGTACAGCGATAGCTTGCGTAGCGAGGTTGTAAAAATACTGTACTGTGCAGTGTGAGCTATTGTTATAGTATGGTTTAATATAGTGCTTTCCATTGGAATTAGTCTGCTTATTAAAAATCAATTTGAACGAAGGTCTTGGATACAGTGATAAAGAAAGAAATTAAATAATGTAAAGTAATGATTGCATTACTGGCGAATAAGCGATGTATCTTCCATTAAATTCATTGGTTATTTTATGGAGCAATCGATTCGCGTTATTGAATTTCCTGCGGCCTCAAGGACTCGTAACCCCAATAAACTCAAAATTGGAGACTTGTGTAGATAAAATTGAGTTTGTAGAACCTGGAGGAACTTGCGGAAATTGAAAATTGCATAGGTTCATTTAGATAAGATGCCAAGTTATAGTGTATCTACAGAGAACCGACCACAGTTTATTCGTAACCAAACAATCTCTTGGTTTATTCACAATTTTTATCGATAAACTTAAATATTAAATGAAGATATCCGTTTCTAGCACGTATTTCAACAAAATACTGAACTCTTTTCTTGCCTATATTTTCAAGCAAAGGTCTCGCCAGCAATTCATACAATATTCATCGACGATGAATCAAATATTAGATTAATATTACACGAATTGTTTGCAAGGCCTGCCATTTGCATTGTTTGACGTTATCTTAGCTTCAATATTTTCGAGATTCGAGTCAAAATTCCGTGAAAATCCGTCGAGTAAACCGGTGATGACGTTCTTCGACCCTATCTTTCCCCATCGTTCGCCGAAGCACCGTGCAATTTCCGGTTGAATCGAACTACCAATGGTCCCCGCGATGCTAGTCGATGATTAATAATCGCTGTGATTTTTCGGCGACGATTGGTCGTAAATGAGCGTGTACGGTCTATAAATAATACGCAGCGACCGAAAAGAGGTGCGTAACGAACCAAGCGTACCGATATTTTCCGCCGTCTGAGGAATCAAGCGCGATCGAAGCTTGTTGCGGTATAGGTCAAGGGTGCCTCTATATTTTCTTAACGGATAATCCCAGCGCAATTTCATCCTAGCGTGAAGTAAACATAAATCATCCAGATTTCTGCGTGTACGTTGAAAAGTTAAGCTTCGCGCGTCTCGTCTCTCCGAGAAGTTTTATTAAGCGCTCTTCCCGCTTCGGTGCCTCGAAAAATGGGTCAACTGTAAGAATTTCTTCTAGCGGAAGCGTGAGCTGGACCTTCCTTAAAATTTGCACACGATGTTTCTGATTAACCGACGAGGTTCTAGAAATTTCATAGTTGAGAAATCGATGCGGATAGAAAGTACTGGGTCTAGGGAAATATTTTCTAACAGCGAACAAAGTTTCATAATTAAGTTTCCCACTGATGTAACACGTTGACATCGTTACACGATTGATTTGCATCACCTGGTCGATGTCAGAGTACTTTGCGCAACACTGATTCAGACAGTACAAAAAGAATTCGATTCCTCGACACCCTCAAAGTGAGAAGAACCATTGAAAAGAACAGATGTTTTACATGACAGAGGTGGACGCTTAATATACAGCGATCAGTTTGTACTTCTCGTCGATGTTTCGCGATACTATGTAGATCGGGGAGATTGCGTCGCGATGGGACAAAGCAATGCAGCTACGAAAATAGACTTGTAAGTTTCGTCTGGTGACGAGTTTCATTGTCTGGCTTCGGAGGCAAACGAATAAATTACGTGACTCGGAAACTATCGACGATGCAAATTGCCGATCGATATCTCTATTATCTTAGGGAGCTTTTAGCGCTTTCTGAACCATTTGCGTCAGCCGCTCCCTACGTTACAACCAGTACCGTAGCTGGACTTCCCCAGCCCTCAGATAAAAAATCATGTTGGGTTATTTAACAAATCAAAAAATTGTCTGAATTCTCCCGCTGATAAATTCTGTTTAATAAGTGTGATTAAATTGAGATGTAAGAGTGACGGTTGGGAAGAAAGTGCAACAAAATAAATCTTCCGTTGCTTCATGCTTCTACAAAGTACAAAACATTGACTTTAATCAATCAGCTGTGGCGCTTCTTTCTGAGAGCGCGCACCTATATGTATCGTGAAAATCGAACGATGACGAGTATGCTCGTCAATCACAGAGTAAGTGTCGTTGTTAAAGTATTGGATCAAAAGGATGATTTTATTTTATAAAATTAACAATTTTATTACTAATATTTACTTGTTCGTTTACCATAGAGTATACTCGTCAAACACAGCTGACTGGTTAAAGAACTGCTTCCTATTATTCAAGAATTTCGAGCTGATTCACCAGTTTGTCTATCTATAGATCCTAGGATAGTTAAAGTGGCACCCCACTGCCATTTGTTTATGACCCCCCAGTGATACAGCGATTTGAACTCACTTGAAACAGAAATCATAGCCTTCGCCTACTTTTGCCATTCACTACCTCTCTCCATGATTAAAAGTACACAAATTCTTTCGCAATCGCTCTGTAACGTTAATGTGAATGGCTTCGTGTCATCTAATTTCGAATAAGTGTCTACATGCACGCGTAAGCTGTATTATTGATCGATACGGAATAACGTAACGTTAAAATTAACGATTGTTAAAATTAACCGTCGTCACGGTCTCGGAGAAGCGTTCAGAGTGGCGCCACGAGGAGAACGACGTCGGTTTCGTTTGTAATTAATAATTATTTTTAATTGTCGACTTCCATTTGCTTGCACTCGGGCAGGGAGAGGAGTGCAACTGACTCGCGAAAGTGGACGATAATTTTGAGTGGCATGCTACGATGCCAACAGTTGTTGACTTAATTAATGATCATTACGAAGCAGCGAAGAGCCCTCGGCGACACAATTTCCTACGCAACATTGTGCTGCTCGAGGCATTTTGTTCTCGAATAAATAAAGCGATTATATTTAAAACAGCGCGCCGATACGGCCGCGCGCATTTTAAGCGTCGCGTTCTTTCCAGTCGTTTCTAACGTACGAGCCCTCGAGACTCGAGATTGGCGCGCGCTGGAAAAAGGCGGGAAATTGAGTCACCGCGCTTTCTTTTTTTAAATGAGATAAAATTGACTTACTGTCATTCCCAGCAGCTCATGTAGAGCAAGGTTAACGCGAACTTTAAAAGGAGCTTATCGATTCTCATCGCCGCGGAGAGATAAAGTCGCCGTCGTAAATTTGTACACGTTTACACACGCGAAACGTTGTAAACACTGACAGAAAATGATAGAACTGGATGCGTTTGTTTACCTTTCTTCGTTTATTTTATTCAACATATCCGACGGGAAATAAAATACGCGTGAAAGAAGGCAGCGTCTTGTCGATAAGCTATTCGATACTATCGAAGTTTGCCAAGCTCGAGAACCGAGCGAAACCAGCCGACGGAACCTTCACATGTTTTCGGTCGTTTGGACATTTTGCTTTTCGGACACACCCCATCAAATTTTCAAGTGAAACTCAACTATTAAATTACAGTAACAGGACATGGAAGGGATGTACAATTACGGGAATGACGCGGACGACAGGTGAGATTGCTCGACTCGATAAAAGAGGGTGGATTACGTTCGACTGCGAGAGGCATTCGTTGCCCTCGCGAAGCAAGAGTGACAAGAAGACACAGAGATTGTTTCTTCGAGTTTTGTGGGTCCTTACACGATGAATCTGCGTAGAAATTGAAACGACTGGGTACTTGTTCGAGGGTTTGTGCCAGTGGGTTTTAAGATTTCAAATGTGAGCGTTGCGTACATTCTCGAGGAGCATTTTTACTCCAGCATCCTATTATAGAACTCCAAGGGAACAGTCATGGTTTTAAACAGTGATATAATTCATCCCCATCTTGAAACTTGAAAGGAAAATAGCAACAAAAATAAATTGGTGCTTGGTCCGCGTTTCGCTGATGGACTGTTACCGATTAATACCGATGAGACCACCAACGAAACCTTGTCAAAACGCCAATTTATTTTTGGAACTCTTTTCCTTTGAAGTTCCAAATTCGGAACGAATCGTGTCATTTATGGAAGGCATAGTCGTATCCCCGAAGTTTTATAATACAATTCTGCACCCCTCTACGCAATGCTCCCAAAACTCATTGATATAAATGCGTAAACAAACACGTGTTGACTGATTTTGAACGAAGATTCGTCATGTAAGAAGCCCACGACAATGCATGGACAGTCAGCTGTGCCATCTCGTGAGCCTATTTCCGGTAGCCAGATAGAACCTTAACAGGCCGTGAATCCTACAAAGGCACATTTCTCACGCGATACTATAAACAGCAGATCGATAGAAGATTCCGTGTCGTCTAGGTTTAACCCCGCATCAGTGGGTCAACGAAATACTGCCGATACGCGTTCAAGAAATCGATTCACTCGCTCTTTACTACGCCGAACTTGAGGCCAGAAGTGGACAAGCTTCGATTAATAGACGAATAGAAAGTTCGTGTAACCATTTATTCGATCGAATATCCATTCGAATCAGCTGTTATTCGTTCATGCAATTTCATTGCATTCGTTTCAATACATAGCATAAAAAACCTTAGTCTATCATTCCAGTTAGCTTTATAATTATTATGATTTAATTGTACTATTCAGAATGCAATTTTTATGAAACGAATAACCACCAGAAATGACGTGTTTTTTTTATTTATACTATAGACATTTCATCCAGCTACGAATTTGTCCATCTCGAGTAAACGGTTCCCGTGTTAGTCGTAGGAGATATTCAAAACGAGGATCGATAACGTTATTTTTTTTCCCCTCGAGGTTCGATTGTACGTGTTTCCGTGTCACGAACGGCAACTCGTGTCCATTTAGCACATTCTAACTAATGGAAACGACGGTGCCCGCGATCGCAACAATTTCATTATCGAGCAATTTTCGCCATTGCTCGCTCTCCACCGAGCGTCAATCGCGTTCGCGATTATACGCTGCGAGCGATGGAGATAGTAACGAGCGATTGTCGGTTACCGAGTAGCGTGATCGCAGAGACCGTTGCTTTGAGGCATTCCGCGGCGTAGTAATTTCCTCGGGGACCTTGGAGCTTAGACGAGTCCTTTCTTGGAAAAACAATGCGCGGTTTCTGAAAGATTCCGCCGCGTAATTGAAGAACGAGTAATTGCGAATGAGTCTCGTCTTCCGCGCAGGGATGGGCAGAATTTCTATCAATATTTTGATCAAAGTGACAGTTACTCGTTGAATAAAAATCAAAATTTTGATCATGGACGTAATATTTTATAATATGTTCATAAATACACGAAGATTCGACTGTTTGGAGCTTGAGAAAGTTTGTCCATCTCTGTGTCCGAGCAATGTCCATCGGAAGTTACCAGAAATTTCCCCATACCGCTATCAAACTTGACCCTTGTCCATGTTCCGACAGAAAACTGATTCCGCAACACGGCCACGATGAACCAGGGAACATCTCGACCGCCCCAGTGGTCGAGAGGAGGCACAGCTCGCGAAGAGGATGCAGACGCCGCAGTCGTCGACGTTCTCATAAGCGAAGGAAATGCATCTGCAAGTCCCGCAGAAGGAGCAGGAGAAGGAGAATTCTGTCGAATAATCCGTTCCTGATCTTTTACTTGGAGATGTACTTCAAATCGCCTGGCCACCACGTGACGACGGTGGCTCGCAAGGCTGGTAAACAATGGTGCGCCCTGCCCGACAGCGCGAAGGAGAAGTATATACGACTCGCGAGGCGTATGCAACGCAGATGCCGAAGCAAGAGACGAAGATAAACACGAGGGAAGACCTTGCTACCCCTATACGAATGAACTCGATACCTAATGGAAAGATGGTGTCTCGTGACAAAGACACTCGTAAGATGAGACGCGTTCCAAGACGACAGGAGTCCCGATGTGAATTCGAAGGACACGAGTCGTTTCGTCCTGGAATCGAAACTCCCTTTGAAGCAGCGCCAAGTACTTTCGTCCGATATCTTATTGCGTACCTATTGCGTGAATCGAATCTTGTACTTTGTACGTGGGACAAATATACGTGTTTTCGATGACAAAGAGAGAACAACGGAGGGATGGAATGATCGATAGACACACGTGCGTTCCGATAGAAGGAACACGCGTGCATCGGGGAATGTATTTTTATTAGGGGCGGGTATTAAAGAGTCGAGCATCAAGCGCGTGCAGCTTACGGAAGCTCAAGGCTGCAGCTACCCTCTCGGTCACTATGCTACTGCCTGATCCTTGCGAGCCTGAATGGGGTCAAGGTCGCTCGGCACGGGAACTTTAAGTGCTTCCACGATTCATTGAATTCACCCCTTAGCGTGGGTTTATCCTTTGCGCGATTTTATGACAAGAAGCAACGCAAACATTGTTCGAACGGAGATAGCTTTGAGGGTTTTCTGAAATTTTTGGATCAGGTTATTATATATTAGAAAGATGTCGATGTGAGAAGATTTGAAACAGTTACGGTCTGTAACACGTCATATACGTAAATTCATACGTAGTGATTGTTTTGTTTGATAATAAATAATGTAAGTGTGCCGAGGGGAGCAATAAATCTTCGTGAAAGACGTGAAAATTTATTGGTCGACCTTTTGAGCGATGATGAAGGCTTTCTTCGTGGATAATTATTCGATGTTTAACCTCGTTTAATCCTCAGGACGATTATTCGAAGTCTAACGTGTGATATAGTACCTCACTCTAGTTTGTTGTTTCTTATACTCACAGAAGTACGAGTGACATACTTGTAAAGTTCTGGTAAGCGATGGAAAACACACACATAGATATACACTATAAAGAAACTTAACCTAAATCCTAATCTTTTGTCCTATTTGGTGATCGAGCCTTATTCAAGCTTTTATTTTTTTAAATAATACTACTATCAACGATAGTCACATCCATACATATAATGGGTATTGGAAAAAGTTCGAGAATGCTACGCAGGCTTGTGAAAAAATTAGTGGTGTTTACGGACAAAATTCTCTATCAAAATTTTGATGTCAAAGATGCATCACGCTGTGGTCGACCAATCACAGAACGATCCAATGAAATCACGCAAATGGTTGAGAAACGCCACGAAATTTTTCGAATACCGAATATATTTTGACGTTATTCTGATCACTACCCACCCATCTTTTCCTGGAAGCTACCACTCAGCATTCTCCAATAATAACCTCTGCTTTAAGATATAGTTTAAACAAGAATGAATCACGACACTCAAATTATATTTACCGAGGCGATTTGTGTTCAAAACACACGTCCCTTACCGACTCAACTTATCCAATAATCCAGAACCCTGCCTTAAAGCGCCTAAGAGGATTTTCCCCTCCGCGCTGCGCATTTTACGTCGAAACGCGCTAGAGCTTGAACGTCGTCGCGACCTTCTGAATAACCGCGTTCTTTCATTAGAGAACGTTATCCTTTAATAACGACGCGCGTTTTTCTATGTTTCCACGTGATGCCTCGATACGGCAATCCCATCCAGTTTTCCCCCACACGATGTTTACATCCAATTTCAACGCTCTGTTCGCAATGCGTACAGTTTTTCCATTTTCGACAGATCAATGTTTGCAGAGAATTCGCGCAAAAATATTTTCCTTTACTCTCTATGCAGTCGCGTTATTCCGAAGCTATACAAGATTCTAATATGTGTGTTCATTGTGGTTTATATGTTATGGTGTAGCCTACAAAGAATATATATTAATGTTCTCATAGCAGGGTGGGTATAAGCATGTGTTTACTAATATCATGTAAATGCTGCAAGATACGCAGTCAATGAAAGTGTGCATCAAAGTGCTTAGAAACTTAAATAAACTGTGAATAAAGTGACATTCACAAACGTATTCGTACTCGTACAGTGGACACTAAACGTAACGAGTATTTCTGTCGTGCCACGTTTAGGTCTAGACACTTCTCGAAAGACTCACGCTATGAATCAACTGTTTGGTACATTCCACTTCTATAATATAATTGCTTTGGCTCTTACTCTATTAAACAATCAAAAACAAGTAGTTCCAAGTGTCCACGTCAACTGATCACATTTATTTATCATCTGCTCCCGCTATCATAATTGCTGATTATCTTCAACTATTCAACCTTCGATTAGGAAGGCTATTAATTAGTAAGGACCCCCATAACATATCTTAAAATTCAAGTCTACGAAGTATGAATACTTTTACGAGTAGAATCAAAGTAGATAGAAGAATTGAAGGACTCACCGTACGGAGGAAGGATACGTCATCCTGCTCGGAGCCGCCCTCGCTGTCAGCCATCCCGTCGGTACGTTTTCACGTGACCTGGACGAGCTCCTTCGCCGCCTCGTTCGCTCGTATTTTCCCTCGTTCGTGTCTGCAGCTTCTTCGCGGCTCGCTAGTCGACCGAGCCCACCTCGTAGTCGATAGGGCGATTATGGTCACACGCGATCACGGTTCGACATGTTTTTGCCCTCCACGCCTCGCTCCGCCTTGCTACGGTGCAGAACGTTTTCGCCTCGTCCGCGACGACGACGACCACGGTGTCGGCGACGTCCTAACCTCCGATGGTGCACCGATGTTCAGCCACTACTGGCTCGAGGTTGCCTCGCGCGAACGCCGACAGCCCCTGCGCAAGCGTCCGTTCCCTTCAATCAAATTCCGCATGCTCGAAATTCTGTCGTTATCGTCGCGATGCCGCTGCTGGCTGATCCCACCCACTCCCACGTGTGCACCCCTCGTTATACATATTTTTCATCCCTATCGCCTCCCTTCTCGCGGCGTGTAACCGCACGATCCGCGAGAACCTCTCGAGCATTCACTTGGAAGAATCTATGACTTAACTTTCAGATTTCGAAGAGCCTTCAAATTTTTTAAATTCGAGACGAAGTGGAGGTAGGGACTATTTTTTAAGAGGAATGAATGTTTACTGGAAATGGTGCAACAAGGATTGAGGGTTGAGATGATTTGACTACTGCTGGAGAGAGAGGGTGGCAAGCGTTGGAAATTAACTGCCGTTAATTAGAATGTATTTCAATTTTTTGGACATCTCCAAAATGAATGTAAGAATACTATACAAATATACAGAGGTACAATTGTTTTAGTCTAGGGAGTTTGACGAAATTCTCCGATAACACTTTCGTTAACGAGAAATAGTATTTGGCTAACTGTGAGGGAGCAGGAAATATTACCTTCTAACGTTGATTCTAGAAATCAATATGAGGGATACGGGAGGCAAAGAACTCCGCCTAACGAGTAGAAAAGTTTGGATACGGCGAGATTAGCTGGACGGGTGGAGGCAAGCAATTAATGGTGACCTAGAAACGCAACTGTTTCGAAACCGCAAGTTGCGTGTATTTAGACGCAATTCGACCAGGAAATTGTCCTTACAATTTGACGAAAGGTAAATAAATGTTTATATACGAAGTTTGAAATAGACTTTCAAAAGAAACTTAAAATATCATCCAAACAATGAGGCTCCAAATTGAATACACCTCCAACTCCTGATGCACATGGTATATAGTTTTCAACACAAACTAGTTTCAGACAATTTAAAGGGTTAATCAAATACTACTATATCCCCGTTAATTTAATTAATAAAGATTCTACTTAGAAATTCAACACTTCTTGAGTTTAAAAGGGTCGCGCACAGTTGGACGTGATACTATTCTGGATTAATATTAATATTACTAAACAGAATATTAAAAAGAAGTAGTAGATCAACTAGAAAAAAAGACCAACTCGCGTCTCCTCTCGGAGCGTTCAACGGCACATATAACCCCCTAAGTAAAAATAGTTTGGAGCGCCCACCCACCCCCCACGTTACTTCCGGAGTGGTTTAAGGCGTAACGACGTGACTCACCGAACGAGTAGCTTCCCTGTTGCATTCATAGTTTCGAAAGCCGTGTCAGAGACGAGAATCGAGTTATCGCGTATGCTGTTCACCCTGTCACGCCGAGAGGGATTCGATTTTGGCGCGAACAGTTTACAATCACTTACGCCTCGATCGATACGCGAGAATGGACGCCGCTCGCGAGTTACTCGGCTAATTAAATAATAACGGTGACAACGCGCGAGACGTGCAACGACGCGAACAGACACACCGGACCTTATTTCATTCTCGCATCTATTTCCAGCAACGGGGCAGAAATAGATGGATTCGCGACCACCACGCTCGTCGATCTCCGTACGTGCTTGGCCGTGTTTCCGCTCGAATTAGAAACAGTTACGCGTCGATCGAAGGTTAAGGATAATCTCGATCGTCCCCGATCCACGCCGTCCAGGACCCAGCGATCGCGACTCGCTCGCTGGATCGCGATTGCTTCGCCCCTGCGTTCATTAATCATTCACTGGCCGAAACGACTGGCAACGGATCAACTGTAAATATTGTTCGCGCGCTAAATATTTTCTCGGACGATTTTCATGGCTCCCGGCGAGAATATACACTTTGTCATTCGAGTACAGTCAACGCGTGCACCCAGTCTGTAGCGAATTTCGCAATTTCGGAAACTCGCCAGACTATCGCGGGAAAAATCGGTCGCGTATATTAGCCCGAGGGGAAGTTTAACAATCTGCGAACAAAGGTAGTCGGACAATGTTTCGAAAAGGAAATTCATTTCGAGAGGAAGAAGTGCGGAGGATAGTTACCCCAAATGATCCACGCGGAAGCGAGGTATATTTGAACAGTATAATTTTGAAACGAAATGACTACAAAATGCTGAAAAAACTTGGTCACGATCAATAAATAATTAGCTCTCCCTATGCGCGAGTTTCCTTTTGCTATTAATTTCAATTTTGAACGAATAACAAGTATTCGTTTGAAAACGTTAGTATACATATATATTTATCAAATGTTTTCGATCTTCTAAGCAAGTGTCCAAGAAAGTTAAATATGCATCCGTTTTCGACTAAGTAAAATCTTTGGTTGAAGTGTAAACCAAATTGAATTATATCCCAAGCGTTCTCTACGTTTAAATCTGTCTGGTTTGTAAGAGAAGACACAAGTTTTACGATAGAGGGAATCGGAGTACCGTGACCCCAATACTAGTCCCCAAATAAAATGTCAGATTCCTAGGAAAAAGTCAAGTAGACAGCCTCGATTGGATTTGTGCCGACTTGCAAATTGTTAAACGGATACGCGATCCCTATGGTTTCGTTGAACTAGTAACAGATCTGTACTAGCTCGACGCCAATTAATACATTAAATAATTAAATCGAAACATTATCAAACTAGCACCCCTTACGGGTTTCTTCTACGTACCCTTCTAAACCTACGAAAACTTTACCAGTTCCACGATAGATACACCTCGGGTTGAAACGATTTAAAAACCAAAGAATTGCTATAGCGTTGGAGAGCACCTGATCGGTTCCAGGCTAGCGACCGGGAAAAACTCCTCGACAGTATCCATAATTAAACAGCCACAAACTTTCGAGAAACTGGCCTGCGGTATTGCGTCCACTCGTACGGGCACACACCCACGCACCCTCTACACACACGCACGTACCTAGACGCGTATCATAATGCAAATGCATCGAGATCGATTGGCCTACTCGACCGTCCGCAATGCAACTGGTAACGCACTCCGCGTTACCTTCGAACTTCACACTTTTCAGCCACTGTGCGATTCACTGTTTCCCGCTACGAGGGTACGTGGGAGGGGGGGGGGAGGAGGGTGAATAAAACAAGGTAACACCTCTGGAGATTCACCTTTTCGAGTAACTTCCTCACTGTGTGTCGGTGCGCGCACTTGCGACTCGTGTATCCGGGTTTCGATCCCTGATCGAGCCAGGGGGTCGTTCAGTCGTGTGTTCGTTAGGGGTGGCTGGATCCCTCGGTTTTTCTATCGGGCCCCTCCGACGAAATTCGTATCGAGGCTCGAGCGGTTCTGCCGGAGCGCGGAGCCGAGCGGAATGGAGCGAGCGAGCGGCTCTACGCGGCTATTTTCAGCCTCGAGCCGAGCCCGCGTTGGCTCTCCTCGCGCGACACGTCGCCGAGGAACGGTGTACCAGTGTTGGGCAAAATGTAATCCACGATTATGATTACTTGGTAAATGTCAACCATAGCCAGTTAACGAGTTACACATAATCGCGACGGATGCTTGATCCGTCATGGGAAGTAACGGGACGCGCGAGTTACGTAGACGTGACCGAAACGAGATTAAGGACATCAAGGAAATAGAGAACGATCAGGTTCTTGTTGTGTCTATATTAAATGTAACTGGAGAGTAGAATTAAAATATTTCCTTCTTCCTGTTGTAAGGCAAGATTACTCTTGGCGATGAATTGTTTGTCGTAATACTGATCACTAGGTCCCCATCACGAGGAAGTTGTTGCGAGGGGAGACCTGGATAGGGGCGGAGGAACTGGAGTTCCAGGAGGATTCGGAAATGTATAATTGTGTTATCAAACTTCTCATAGTTTGATGTAAATTCTAACTAAGAGTTAATATTGAGAAAATAATACACGGTTAAACAAAATGAAATGAAAGTACCGTACCGGTAATGGTTACCAATACAAATTTTTACAATGAGTTCTCTATTTAGAAGGAATTCTTTTTTTATTCGCTATTCAAGTCAAAGATAAGGGAACAAATACATTACGAATCTTTCAATGTTTAGTCTCTATTCCAGTCGCTAAGAGTGCTGAAATCGTGTTCCAGTGAGAAGCGATAATGTCGAAAGTAACATGGAGAAATTAACGGAGCTCCTAGGGTATAGATGGGCAATTCGATTACTTCTGGGTACAACCAATGGTGGCGTATCAGTTGCGTGATTGATCATACCCGCCACCTGGCGGCTTGAATTTTATATCGATCTGAATTGATAACGTTAGAACTTGCGTTAGAAAAAATTTCAAAATCGCTCAGTAGATGGACCTGTCTGCACTAGCGTCAGGTTGATACTTATTTAATTTATATAAATCACGCACTTACCTTTGAATGTTCGAGATGCGTAGTAGAGATCGACGATGGACGAGCGCAATTAAAATGAAACAAGAATAAGAAAAAAACAAACGATTTTCACGAGGCAATAAAAAACACACGGTTTTTGCCGATAGTAAGAAGTGTATATTACTACAACATACTTGTTGGATATCCATTGCAACATTGATCGCATCGGAAATAGAGGGGATTATCGGGGGTTGGATGTTTGGAGGGCAAGGTTTCGCTACTACTTCTCTACACGGCGGATACATATACAACAAAGAAAAGACACACATATATTTAGCTGTGACAATGATTTTTTGTTTGCATATCGATACGTATCATATTAGTCGCATTACCAGGACAGATTGCAAGGATTCGTTTCGAGATAAAGATATTATAGAACGGAAACTATTTCCATCGAATCGTTGCGGTGTAAATCGCATCGAACGCGGGGGTGGTCGCGTTGTAAATGACAAAACCCCGTTTTTTCGTCTATAAAATTATCGTAAAATAGCGTTATCATCGTATGGCAGTTAAACAATGTCGTTTCATTGAACGTCTATAAAATGAATTAATGGAATGTCTCTGAACTTGTTTTCGTCTTTTTGTTCGTCGTCGTTTAGTTTACCCTTTTTTGTTGTATAAGTTTTCTTTTGCTTTATTTTTGTTTTATTTTTGATTCTTCGTGCTTCGTTCGGTTCTCGTAAAAAAAAAAAAAAAAAAAAAAAATGAAAGTCCGCGTAATAACGATTGGCAGACGGTCGTTGGCAATGTTTCGTTCGCACAATTGGAAGAAAGTAAAAACCGCAAAGGTTCACGAGCGAGGACAATCGTCAAGAAACCTGAACGAGGGTCAGTTCGACACTTAACATTGAGTATTACGCAGGTAACTGGTTAACATTTATCTCAGTGTGTATACATCCATGCTAGCTTAGTATTTAATTGGTCAAGATACTGTAACGGTGAAAGGACATACGTATTTCTTTCGTTCTGATTATCGGATCCGATCGACAACAACCGATCGATCCCGTGGGACCCATGGATCGTTATAGCAAGCGATTTCTCGGCGCATGAACGATGATCGCAGGGAGTTCCGTGTTACTCGAGATCTCTCGGTTGTTCTCCGTTTCTGTCGCGTTTCTTCCAAACGATTCGTCGAATATTTGTGTCAAACATCGAATCAAAACGTCGCCATGTGTGATCGTAACGCAACCGCAGTCGATTCCTCCCTTCGATGGCTCTCAAAGCGAACGACTGTCTGGCGAACGTAATTTACTCCGCGTCTTGTATCTCGCGGTTACCAAATCTCGAATCTTCGAGGCCAATTAAATCACTTCTCGAAATGCTAATCCATCTACGATTCAACGATCGAGAGATCGTTACGTTAAAAGAAAAATATGTCTAGAATGGTCGATGAGCAACGTTCGCCAGTAGTCATGAAGAAAGTACTTTAAGTTATGTATACTATATATTTCCTATCAATAACATCCATACAAACATCGATATTGAGAATAAAATTCGCTTGATGCTCGTTGTCGCAAAGTGGCCACATCGTCGACAAGAGACGGGCAAAGTTTGTAGACAAGTTTGAACGTATACAAATCAATACATCTCATCTTTTTCCTTTCACTGTTTAATTCGATGGCAACTCTAGTAAATTCAGAAGGTGGCTGTAAAAGTAGGGGTGGAAACCTAAATAGAGAAAAGCTTTCTCGAGCTGTAAGATCTTCGTCATTCAATTATTCGCTAATAATATAAATTCGTTGTATCGAAGCTTTCTTTATTGAAGCATTCTTTATCTGAAATTTGTAAATAAATAAGAATTTTGCTCATCTCTGCCTCGATGTCACCCCACAACCCTACTAGCTCTTGTGCTTTGGGAGAATCCTTCAGTTCTTGGACTCGTGATGAGAGGGATAGCGACTCTGAACCACCAGCTGTTTTGTTTAGACTATAACATCGGTATACACATAACGTTTCGATTGAGAGAGCGATTGCGTTGCTGAGCAGTCGAAGGAGGAACTTGCGCGCGAAACGAACAGAAAATTCGCCGAAATTTGTATACTGGGCATTGATACGCGTTGCTTTTCCGTATCCTCTGTCTTCGTTTTCTGTTTCCTGCGGTGCATTTCCACTGACGATGTAGCCGCGCTAACGGAATTTAGCGCGGCGTCCAAGGCCTCCTTGCGTCGATGGAGGTAGGAAGACCAGAAACGCCGTGGGATCCGTTTGATTAGGCCAATTTGAGGGGCGAAACTCGTCGAGAGATTCGTCTCGCCTCTCGAGAAAAGGGGGGAGGGGTCGCAGAAGCTTTTCGGTAATAATCTCGTGCGAGATAGCATCTCATCCTCGAGAGCGCTACGCGGGTCGGCTGGATTCGATTAGATCAAATGACAATTAACACCATATTTAGTCGTACACGTTGAAACATCATGGATATACGTACATGAACAGTTTTCTTATCGTAGGCCTGTGCGAATACTTGCATTTCAAATGTCGCGCTCTGCTGACTCGACGGCAGACGCGGAAAAAATCAAACACGCCCAAAACGAAACTCAACTCGAAAACGACCCACGCGAACGGAATAATCGCAACCGTTGTAGAGCATAATCGCGGACGGAGATCGTTTCGTCGCGTTTGTTTCTTCTCCGTTCTTTTTTCCAAATTCGCATCGTTCTCTTTCACAGCCTTGCGGCGGCATTGGTCGATCGGCGAGCACGTCGTTGGACACCGACAAAATTTATTCTATCAACGCTGGCATCGATTTTTTCCGGATGATACATTGCGTCCCATTCGCTTTTGGGCGGCAGTACGATCGAGCGTTCGACTTTTCCCATCTCTCCTCGTCGTTGTTTTCGAGTGCGCGCATGTGTGTCGAATAGAATCGAAAATAGAGCCCCTTATTCCATGCGTATGCGCGAAATTAACCCTTTAAGGGGGATTTTGATTTCAATAGATCACTAACCCGAGGACGACCCGAGTCCTAGAATAGAAATATTATCGAAACACTTGAATTATCGATTTATTCGGCCTTTGATCACAAATCATGAGCTTACCTCACCGCCAGAGGTTTGTCTATCTGTAAAAGATTAAACACACGTAAGATAAGAGTCGCAATTTCTATATTAATCTATGCCACATACAATAAGGAGCGCTATTTCCACCCTTGTTCTTTGAGACGATTTTTACAGCTCACGTGTATCTCGATACACTTACAGAATCACAGTTTCTAATCGAGAAAGCTCTATTCTCTCGGTCCATCGATTTCGATGATGCGTTTGCCGCTCGCGGGATCAGCGGATCGTTTAGGCCTTCTATTATATACGCGTGCTTCACGTTCGTTCGCATAATCTGCGAACGATGGCTGCGTCTGCAGTCAGTTTATCGCATTACCATAAACTCCGTTTCGATCTCCTTTTCGCGATCAAACGATTCACTTCGCGAGAAAACGAAAGCACGCGGAAGATCTTTGAGGAACAAGTGCATCGTGTACTACGCTAAAATCGCAACTTCGATGTACGAAAAAAAGTTTAAAAGGAAACGGCGTGAGGGTAAAGGAATGAAAGGAAGTAAAATAGGAGATGTATGCTATCCGTAGGGTGTGGCTGCAAACATGGTACGAACGGCGAGATATGATTCCTCGAGCAAAACCAGAGATGGGCGATGTTCTATTTAAATAGTAGATAACGAATGGAAAGCAGCTTATCGTCACGTTTTTATGAGTGGCTAGATGAAACTTCGAATTTAAGTAACTAATTCTGGTTGCTTTTTTCATGTTGAAACTCAGTTACGTAGTTGACGCTGTGGTTGATCCAGAGATCCAGGAACATTAACATTTTTATTTATAATTAATGGATGAACATTTAGTCGACTTGAACTTCGGTCCATGTAACAAATACTAATTCCTGCTATAAACCAACGAATTATTTATAACCTTACGATACTTTCTGGATTTTCGCGTTTCTCCTACGATTTCGATTTCGTTTTGCAGCGAGGAATTTCCGCGCGTGTCCGTGCCACGCTCACCCTGACTCTCCTTAAAAATGTGTGACGTAACAGGAATCTTTGCTTTCTTTCTTGTAAATGCACCCCCGTGCAAACGCAGCCACGCGTTCACTCGTCCACGCGTGTAAACTTCGAACGCGTCGAGTGCAGAAACAGCGAGTCGATTGAAACGCGCGGGAAACCGTGCGGTTTACCCGCGTAGAAACGTGTAAACAAACGAGTAATAAACGAAACGAGAAACATGTGCGTCCTCGATTACGATTGTGTTATTTTGACTAGACTCTAAATTATCATTCTATACACACCTATCGTTATCCTCTCGAATTAATTATGTATATATATATATAATATTTATACATCTATTAAACGATGCGCGTCGGCCGGTTCTTGGATTCTAAAACCGGTCGACTCCGCGTGCGTATCTGTGTTTATGCATTGTGTATATGCGCATGTGTGTATGTGTGTTCACAATCTTGTTCTGTTGTTGTCTTGTTTTATATTCGTATAGGTACATTTAGAGTTTACGGATATACTTATCGTAAAATACAGTACAGATCGTGTTCATGCGCCGCAAAGGAGAAAAGAAGTCTCGTTCTCCTCTCCTTCGCCAAACTTCGTTTAAATTCGTTGCGTCCGAGAACGCGTCAGGAGGGATTGGAATGGTGGTGTACGCCGGTTGTCCACCAAACTATCACACGGCGTCCATATGACGCGACGCCCACAAGTAATTGCGTAAATGTGAGCGTGTACAAGCGTGCCAAGTCACGATATTACGTCGTGGCAGTATCGAAACGTCGATTACAGTTCTGAATCGTGTATCGCTGGGAGAAAGAGAGATCAAGTCCGCGATGGAACTTTGGCGTACTTAGGCGACGCTTATCAGTTTAGTCGGTAGTCAGTTCGGTACGACTCGGCTAAAGTTGGTCGACGTTGTTGCACACGTTCACTCTCGACTTGATCTCCCATCCACCCTGTTCGAATATAATATATTTATCTTCATATCTATATTTATATTTATATCTTCATTTATATATTTATATATATTTATATTTTATTTATATTCATCTTTATATTTATATACTTTTCCATTTATTATGTATACTTCGCGTTTTCACGTGTGATTTTCGTTATCGTTCTCGCTCTAAGCAGCATTTAAGATTCAGTTCGTACGCAGTGTACCAGAATTGTACTAGAGGAGCGTGGTCGCTCGACGTCGTTGATTTCCTATAGGTTTGTGGTCGGTATCAGGACGTACATATACGTGTATGTATGTATGTATATCTATGTCTGCGTTTTTTAAATGGATGTTATGAATGTACGTATACTCGCGGCAAATGTTGGTGACACGTCTTCGCACACGTAGTGCGCAAATTCGCATGATAGGCGAGCTCGAGTCATTAATTCGCGTCTAATTACCCTTAATTACAGCGAAACAGTCAGTACACGTATGATATATGTATATATATATGTTTATAGTATATAGTACAGACACCTTTAACTCTCTTTCTCATCTCGTAGGGAGGGAGTCGGTGGCTTAATCGGTTTAGAGGAATTATCTACTTTCGAGATGTTCTCCTATCTCGCAGCCGCGAGAAGGAAAGCATCGTTTCGTTTCTGTCCAGCGCGATCATTCTGCGTCTCGTCGACGGTATCGGCGCGATCAAACTGAACGATCACTTCGGCACACCTGTGTTCCACGTGTAGGCAAAATTTCATTTGAATATAGGATGGATAAAATGCATAGTGACTCAGTTGAATTGTGTTTGTCGAATTCAAATTTTTTCTTTAGCCTGAAACGAGTAGTTCTTGTATTTGTCTATTTCAATTCAAATAATATAGAGGGAGAGAAAACTCTGTATAGCGAAGGTAGGTGTCTTGCGATGACTCATCAGAAATGATTGATTCCAATTTCTATTGGGATATGTCCCAAAGAAACAACGAATCTAAAACGGTTCATTCTTCGTTCGATTTAGTTTACGCCCGCTTATGATTTTGCCCACGTTCGAATTTTTGACATAATCGAACGCGTTTACCAGTCTGGAGGAACGCTGTGCTCGACGCTGGACATCGGCTCGGTTTCTCTGATACGTCGGAAGCCCGCTGGACAGCGAGTCCGAGCGGTTCGCTTCGTGATTGAATTCAACGACATTTATCTAACAAACCGTGAACATATGCTCCCGATAAAATTCTTCCAATGCACGCGGAAACGAAAACTGTTTGATCGGTTTAATAAGGGGAGAGGTAGTCGAAGACCGATAAATCGTCCTTATAAAAATAATTTTCGTTTATCATGAATTAATGAATATGTTATTTCACGGGCTCTGATTGCCAACAAAGGTGCAAACGCTCACGTAAAACCTGACTCATTGATCGCGATATCATTTATACGAAATTTCTGACCAAATAAATATTTCGCCCATCTTTGCCCCCGCACACTCTCCAACCTTTCTTCGCCACCGTCGTCGTGCCCCTTCGAGCGTCCTCTTTCTCTCCGCCATCGCTCGTCGTTGTGTTCGTTATGTTACGTGACGTGTCTAAAAGTTAGCAAGAAATACACGATCCTCCTCCGCACCGCGTTCCCACGAAATCGCAATAACCAGAGTATTCGCCTCCTACCTTTCCGACACGCGAGCTATAATATTCTATTATACCTTTAGATTTACCCTTAAATTTTAGGCGAGTCTCCCCTTTGGTTTTCGACGGGCTCATGCGAAATGCCAATCGACGAAGGGGCTGCCAACCCGTGCGCGTTGTCGAGTTATCCTGATTGCGATCGAGGATGAAACCGACCCATCGCTGTCACGTGTAATCGTTCCCGCGCGTCGATCAGCCCAGAAGGAAGACGCGCAGATTATTTTAAGATGATTACGGTTATTATCGATATTGAGTTAAAACTGACAACGAGTTGAGTTCGCTTTTGTTACACACATTTTCGTTAACTTTGTTTAAACACGGATACGGTTACATGCATGCACACACATATTCATTTTTCTTTTTTTTTTTGATTTTTTGATATTTATTTTTTTTTAGTTAGTCGCGTTGTAGATAGTAAATGGCAGTAAAACGGTGTGCGTCGACGAGTCGTCGATCTATGCGGCTCGCGGTCAGATCGATCGCTCGAACGACGAAAGATCACAAATATATATGTATATATATACGCTTGGTAGAAAAAACACGTGGTTTGGGTTTCGGTTTAAAGCTGTTCCCGGTGCACGTTTCACAGGCAGTTTTCGTTTCCGTTATCACGCAATTTGTAACTTATAGGTACCGTAAAAATCCTAGATGAGACCAGTCTTCGAAGGGTTGTCGTCGATAGAAAATGATCGCAAGGCAAAGGAACTCGTTCGGTCAGAAAAAACGTTATAACGGATTTTGTCGAATTGCAGTTTTTGCCGCATCTTTTATTCCCCCCCCCCCTCCGTATGGTTTATCACAATGAAAGTTTTAATCACAAAATTTCGGACAGTGTTTTGCCATTGAGCGTTTGGGTGCTCGATCATTTGCCGATGCCCGATCGATGTCACCGAGCGCGATTCATCGATGGAAAATTGTTAATTATCGAACGCTTAAGATTGTCGTCGCCGTAGGATTTTCCACCGACTTTCCTCTAACCTTTAACGCGTCTCGATTGGTCGATCGGCGGGAATACGAAACTACCGCGATTATCGTGAAAAATTGTTACGTTGAGGACGATTATCCGTTTCCTTAAATAATCCTTACGCGTATTAGTCGATTATGATATTTATTATTTAATTCCTACGTCTTATCTTACGGATGCGAAGCATAACCATACACAGATATTACACGTAAGTTTACACTTATATCGGTTAATTAATTTCCACAGTTTTATCGATAGCGGATCGAGGTTACGATTTCTTTTATTTAGCCATTCAATGATTTACATTTAATCGTTAAGCGTTTGCGTCGTACGATTTTGATCGTGTCAAAGACAAAATTTCATTGGAACAACGAACGACGTTCATCCTACGAAGATCGAACGGTCGTTGAAATTTCTGTTGTATCACCCTGAAGTATAACTTCATTCTATGCTCCGAATTCTAATCCACGGTCAACGAGTAACGAATTCAAGCCGTTCTTTTACTCGTTATTCGAAATTTTCGTCTAGATCAAGAATATTTTGCCCATGCCTGTATCAAAGTCGTGTTCGTTCGAGCTGTGAGCTCGACTCGACCTTATAGATTTTCAATTCCTGGTGACATCGCGTATCCGCGAGCGTCGATAAGAGAAAAAGAGAGTGTTCGAGCGGCGAACCAGACTCCATTAGGCTCGTATCAATGAAAAAGAAAAAAAAAATCTTGACGTCCTCAAACATACTTCCAGCTCGCTTAACGAACAACAATCGATGCGAATACGATTAATCGGTCTTCGACTCGGGCGATAAAATCACAGAAAGAGAGAGAGAGAGAGAAAGAAACTTAAAACGTAACGAGGGCGAATATAAGCGATTCTTTGGTAAATAAGTGGTCGAACGATCCAACTTATACAAACGTATTACGCGTATATGTATATATGCATGTATGGCCGTGCGTGAGGTTTCGTTTGATTATGCACTTGTGTGTGTACGTGTGTTTGTGTGTAGGTTTGCGTGTGTATATACAAGTAGCGAAGAGTGTTCACTTACACGATGAAACAACGAAAATGAGGGGGCCTCAGTACGAGTGTTCATTGTGTTCATTATTTTTTTTTTTTTTTTTTGGCACCCAGCACCGCTGAAAACGAGGCCCCCTTGGGCGACTTCGTATAGGGCGTGCAGCAGGCACACCCTCAGCGCATGGTTCGCGAGAGCACGCACGCGAATGATTAATATTTACACTGAATATGCTCAGAGCATCCTTCTCTGGTCGATCCTAATATCGAGTCGCTGTTCGTCCGTTGGTGCGAAGACGTGTCCGATCTACAGCTCCTTGCCCTGTTGCCTGCGTGAGGAATACAAAGAGAAAAGGGTACGTTTGTAAACACTTCTTTGGGGCTTCAGGCTGCGTCTCGACGAAGAAAACGTTTCATAAATCTAGCGACAACAGGTCCTTCGGCCTCTCGGCTCGCGTAGTTGTGTACTTAACGTCGAGTGTTTGTTTTCCATGTCGACGGGAAGAATTCGTGACGACGTTATCGAGTGTGTATGCGTTTTCAAAAGGATACGTTTGTGTAGTTCGTCGAGAATGCGAATATTTAATGATATTTAAGGAAATGCTTGTAATACAGATTATCGAAAGACTTTGTTTGGCAATGCACGAGTTTGCTACACTTTCATGTTCGAGTCCTCGTCAGAATATATAAGGATCTATAAAATGGGAAACAATTTTTGTTTGTGTTTTACAATGAAACGAACGAAGAAAAGAGAGCCGAAGTCTTTCTCTTCGTGCTAGTTTCATTATAATTCGTAAACAAAGTTGTTCCTATTTTGTATAATAGGAATGTGAACAGCTTTATGTTTGAAGAATTGACCTGTACGAAACACATTGCATGCTGGCGTTATAGGATGAGGGAAATTGATACGAAACAGTAAGAGGATGTTCAAGGAAATGATATCTGTGTTCCGAGCACTCAAGGTGTCAGGGTCAGGTTTCATCGAATACAGATGCCTATGGAACTTCATCCTCCTCTTAGCAAACATAGCCGGTGGAACATAGTAAATTTCGTGGTGGAAAGTCAAGTGGGGTCTGTAACCCGATAGTAGTCGAATGTAATAGCTACTGATCATACTAATTGATGTCAATTGGTTCAAGTAGCGAAATGAGATTGAAATTTGTGAACTGTGCATGGATGTTCCACAGCTAAATTTATGATTACTTCTTTATACGACACACTGCGGTCTTTCCAGCATTTAGAATCCTATTCTTGGTTGATACTAGCTGAGATTTCCTGGTAAGGACACGTCTCACACTCTGAGGCCTCAGTTAGTATCAACCACGAAGAACCAGGTCGCGAATGCCTCGAATATCTCAACCCTTTTCTCAAAGTACCCCGCGCATTCCTTCCACCAGACGTTTGGTAAGATCTCAGCATCATTCCCAGGCATCTTCGAACCAAGTTCGCGGGGAGGTATAATGGGAGATACGTGAGCTACTCACAGAATCCGCGATACCCTTCGGGCAGTGTAGAGCTCAGTCAATTACAGTGGCTCGGGCTGGCTCGAGGGAACACTGCAACTGAACATCACCAGGCATCATTGGGGCAACATCTTGCAGCTCGTCTCCATACCTTCAGGTGGCACGCGCATGTTGCCGTTAGTGACGTATCCGTTCGCATCAACGACGACGGAGACGCTTCCCGGATGATTGTGGTAGCTCACGTTCCGATGCGTCATGATGATGTTTTTCTCGTGGTCCATCCCAGCATGGGTGGACAGGCAGCTCTCGCTGCTTCTGCTGCTGCACGGCTCCATGGAGTGATCGACGCGAATGGGGATCGAGTAGTCGGAGATCGAGTTTACCTCGACGGTTGCGTATTCGCGGGTCATTTTCGGTGAGTAGTCCATTAGCATGTGTTTCATCGATGAGGTCGGCAAGTCGGCTTGGTCGGAGATCGTGGATGCGTGGCCGTTGGCCATGGCGTACAGGTCAGGCTCGTCGTGGCCTTTCGACGTCAGCATGGCTTCCAGGCATTGGTAGAGCAGGGCGTAATCCTCCTGCGAAGCACAAACGTGTGAAATCTCAAAGCCAATAGGCGAGATCTTGGAATTCTGATGGGGTAAACTGAAATGGTTGAAAGTATTTCGGTGTCTCTTCGAATGCAGAAGAGTTTCATCTAGACCAAAGGTATCACTTGGAAAGAACAAGCCTAAGGACATATGTTAAAGAGAATAGTAACAATATTTTTGTCTCAATCTCAAACAGTATCAGATCGTACCTTCGATCGGAACACTCCAGGACGCTTCATGTACAACAGCTTGGCGAACATGTAGATATCAGCGCTCTGTTCAAAGTCGAGTTGCTTCTTCAACGTTGTCAGAAGGATGAACACCGCAGCCTCGACGCCGCCATACCTGAATCCAGACACGATAACGTAATTTCTAGCGAACGAAGCTCGACGAAGTATGTTGTATCGATAAATAACTACCTGTCCATCACGACGATCGGTCCGTTTTGGTAGTTGCGGTGCAAGTCGTGGATCAGACTCACGAGAGGTCGCGGATTGCCGTTGTGCGGCCAGAAGCCAGTCTGGGACGGTGGTCCCTGAACGATTTTGGCACTCAGTTCGTAATCGTCTTGCAGAGAGCGTACTGCCACCTCACGCAGGATCATTCCGCTGGCGGTTTCCTTGATTCCGCAGGCTCGCACGCGGAACGTCTCCGATTCCAGGTCTTTTCCCTCGGTTGGCCAGAATTCTGGGTACTCCTGAAAGTGGACAGTGACGATATAATTCTACACGCGTTGACTATGTTTGTATCAAACTAGACATGTAAGCCAAAGGAATTCGCATCAGAAATCTTCAGGTGTTAAGCAAAGTCGCATCTGTCCCACTCACTTCGTTGCATTCGGTCAGCATGACCACAGTCCGTGCGTTGTAGTTCCACATCATGTGCCAGAATTCCATGATCGTGTTCTTCATGGGATGTTGAGTGATGATGAATTCGCGATTGCGGTGGAAGCCTGGAAAGCAGAGTTTGGTCTATATTCTGCACCTTCGATCCTTCTGACAAATACCAGAGACAATCGTTACCAGCGATCCATGTTGCGTTGATGTAGTCGCTCCCATCGATTCCAGCTTTCGGTGTCAAGTGCACGCGAGCAGTCTCAACAGAGATGATCTCCTGGATACGGTTCTTGTGAAGGTTATAAGATTGCATGGCGGACAGCAGGTTCAACTCCTTAGGCTTCCAGGAAGTCACCAGCTGGAGGTTAATTTCAACAGTCAAATCTAAGCGTTCCATTAGCCTAGTTTTATCCTGATACGACTATAGATCGATACCTTGTATTGGGCCTCGAGGTTGTTCCAAGCATCGGTGTTTGTGTTGTTGGGGTTCAGCATGTCCTGGACATAGGCGAGCAAGTTGTTCGTGTCGATGTTGGTCTCACCGCTCTCGATGGCTTCCTGCAGAGCATGGTGGATGAAGATGTACTGCTCCTCGGTCTGGACCAGGAAGTTACGCTGGGTACGGATGTGCTTGAGGAATCCGAACACGTTCACTTCGTTCTTGCTCTTGGCCTGTTTCAACATGGCGTCGATGACGATGTAGGCACCGGTGCGTCCAACGCCAGCACTGAAAAGGGAAGAAGAATTTCAATCGATGTTTTTCGACTTGTTACGATGTCTCTCTTAATACTCGAAGTCTGTTCTCACCTGCAGTGGACGACGATTGGTCCTGCGCCAGGAGGATTGGCGTTGGAAGATTTACGAATGAAGCTCAACACGGGCAATGGGTGTTCTGGCAAACCATGATCGGGCCAACCGGTGAAATGATACTGCCAAATGATTCGTTCCTCCATGTTCACTCCATTCTTCCTCTTCTTGGACTGTTAAGACAATTTTCAATAGTATTTATCGAGTGAACATTCGAAGCTTAACTCTAAAAACTGAATCGCGATGTACCAACCTTCAGATGACAAATTTGAAGAGTACGGATGGTGTACGTTGCCATGACATCTTCTCTCAGCAGAGTCACTTGGATGTAACCGTAAGTCACGGATCCCTTCTTAGGCCAGTACATGTCACATTTTTTCTGAGAACAGGAAAAGAGTTCAATTTGTTCTTCGACGATTAGTCTCACTGGGATCATCTGCTATTAATAGCTATGCCAATCACACAACGCTAAAACGGATACTGAAGTCATTCGCGATCCTACGAGCATACAGACCATTAGAGTGTTTCTCCAACTTACGATTTCTGTTAATGGAAGGAAATATTTGTAGGAAAATATTCTTTATGGTTAACGAGAATCTAAATATCGTAGAAATTAATGAAGTTTATGCTTCGGGGGCTCACGAATGGATTCGGTTTCTGTTGTAGTTGAATTATCGAGCAAACCTTTCCGCGTTCGACGAGATTAGTGATCATCACAACGATCGACACCTTCTGCTCCCACACCATACGCCAGAATCCGTCGAAAGTAGAGGTCAGGGGGCCCTGAGTGCCAATATAAGCTCGCTTGCGCTGCCATCCGTCGATGTAATTCGCGTTCACGTAATCGTGGCCCTTTTTTGGAGGATCTTCGCCGCACGCCAGCAATCGCACACGAGTATGGTCGTCTGTGGATTACCCAGCAATCAAAGTATTATCATCACTCATACCTAATATTAGTATCGGGGGAGGATGTTATTGCGCGATTATAGAGTAAGAGTATATAAGCAGGTATTAGGTAAATCGAATGTCGATTAATTCGCCAATTATTTATTAAATAGATTTGGAACTTCGACTGGATCGTTAATTTTATTTTGTCTTGATCGAGGCTCTCGGTATCGAGGATCTCGCTCTTACGGTACAACTATGCGGGACGTTTAATTACATTCTGAAAATCCTGGGATCGACGGTTGCTGATTTCGATCGACCCAGGTGATCGAGCGTCTCTCGTCCCCTTCTTCTACTCGTTCTCTCGCTGATAGGCAGTAACGAGCAGCGCCGCGAAGCATCTGTGACCTCGTTGTCGAATGCTGCCGGTCACTCACATTAAAAACGAGCGAGAGCTGCTCGTTAATCCGATAACATTGCGAACAGTCCAGGCGAGCGCTGGCTGGATCGCGAATTTCGTAGCCTGGGGCCCGTCTCGCAGTCGCTCACCGTTGGATTCGCGACCGCAATGTTTCTTATCGCCAACGGCTCGCGATACCTTATCGGTGTAAAATTGTAAACCAGTATCTTTTCTCGTCTCTCTTGGCCAAGTCTAACGATAAGTTGCATCGGAGCTGACGCGTTTGCACGCAGCCTTGTAAACTCGCGACGTGTCGCGGGGTAATGCGAAGGAACCGACTTTGTTCGGAAGATATTCGATAGATATTTCAGATTCAGGTGTTGCAGCTCAGAAACTGAATAATGTAGGAAAGATCTATGGAAGATCTATGAAACCTAGAAATGCTACTTTGTACTTTTATTTATTGCATTGATTACTTAGAGAGTTTTCGATGGTTTCATTGGTCAGTGGAGAATACGAATGTTTTGTCAACGTCAAGATGTACTATATTTTCAATTGGTATGTCTAGTAAATGGCCACTACAGTGAAACGTGAAAGATTCGAGGCGATTCAAGCTGCAGCGAGACGTCGCGACGAGTTTTACGAGGTCAACGATCATTTTGGTCCAGCTAGTTTCACGAATCGAACGAAAGCCGCTACGTTTGGAGTAGAAAGCGAGCTCGAGCACAATTTCAGCTCCATTGGTGGCCGTTTCCACGCGAGGTCGGCCGACGTTGCGACGATTGCAGACTTCCGATACGCGCGATTACAATTGCCGCATTGTGCCAGCTGCGTTTCTGTCTCCTCGAAGGTGAAACGTGCGTTGGCACGCGTGGATGACGAACGAACGAAAGACAAACGAACCAATCTAATTATCCTAATTACTCTTTAATGAAGCGTTCGATTTGTTCGAGTGGGCATTCTTAACCCCCCATTAGCTACCTGGGTCTTTATGGGTACGAGCGATATTTCGAGCTCGAAATGGAGACCTTGGTAGCACTTAATGGCATATTTTAGATTTAAGTGTTACAGGTTTACAATGTTACAGCTTATTCTGAATTTCTTCAGATTCAAAACTTACAAAGATAACAGCTCAGGTAATTAACATAAGCAGCAGCAATAAATTAGCTGATTAAAGTTTAGGATGTAAAAAAAATGTATTTCTTTAGTATCTCAGTTGAAATTCAAGTAACTAGACGGTTTCAGTAGCTTTGGACTTCCACAGTTCATAAAAATCATTGCTCGAGGAATTTCAGGAATGCTGTGTGTACCGCTTAAGATACTTTACGTTATAGTTTCCTGTACCGTGGTATCATTTGAAACGAATTCTTGCTAGGTGCTTGTTAGCTTCAACTGTGAGATGCCCATTGAAGATAAGATCGCGACTTAATACAAGCGTAATCGATTTAATCGGGACGGCTTCGATCGTGACTAGACGGACGATAACGCGTGGCATCCCTACGACAGTTGGCGAAGGCAGGAATAAAATTAAACGGAACACGGGGTATACCGCGAGGATGAAAGGGAAACTCGCGTCGTTTAAAATAGAATCCGACGCTGGTGGGCCGACAGAAAGAAAAACAGAGGCTGCGCGGTAATGTCGACCTGTCGATGAAGCCGTGCTTCACACCGATCGAGTGGAATTGTTCCACTATTCCGTTGGAAATCAATAAATATTTTAGCATTAATATATACCATACCTCAGCAGTCGTATATACTATCCTATAAAATTAGGTAACAATCTTACAAGCTGATAAGGTAGCATTTATTATTCGAAGACGGGCATATAATTTTATCGAGTGTTTATCTATGACTTCCAAGCACATAGAATAAACTTATTTGAAACAATCGAATCAAATTTACACTTTTAGATCATGTTCTTGTCTTCCAAGTGCCCACAACGCGAGAGGTTCATCAAAATTTAAAAGTAGGTACGTTTAACGATAACGACAATAAATATTTTTATTTTTGTATTGCAGGTGGTACGATCGTCAACCTCTCTTGCCAACCCAGGATTTCCCTTGATTAATGGTGAGTCACATCCTCGATCAATTTTTAAATATAATTTCGTAGCGTTGCATTAACAATATACTTTAGACTATACATATACTTGAAGAGATTTTACTTCAATATTTTCAGAATGTCTTTTATATCACGTCGCTTCTTAATACTTTTTAGTACTCCAACACACGGTGATTTGGATCTTTGGTACACTGTTTAAAATACTAGACCCCCACGTAGTTCTTCCTAGAAAGTTTCCTTTTCCCTCGCGAGTAAACAAGCAGATAGTGGAGCTACTCACAGGCCAAGATGTTCAGGTATCGGTTCTTCGCTGTGTTCTCGGCGCATTGCGAGTTCTCCGTGGTGAACTTGCCAGATTCCGACTTGATCAGATCGTACTCCTTGCTAAATCCTATTCCGCTGTCTGCATGGAGGGTGGCGACGTGTTGAACGAACTTCTGGATCTCCACGGCGGTTTGCTCGCCGTCTTGCTCGGTGTTCTCCCAGTCCAGAAAGCAGTACGCGGTGTGGAAGCATTTTCTGAAAATTGGCCTCAGGCAAGGCCTGATCAGTTTCACTATAAACATGCATTCCAACGAAAACGTAAGGAGAACGTCAACTGAAGAGAGGAGAAAGGGGATTGTTTATCGCGGCAAGGAACGATACGAGCAGTCACCGAACGTCCTTATCAATGTCTTGCGTTGTCTCGGGAAATAAAATCGAAACGAATGTAATACACGAATTCGAGGAAACACCTCTGTACGTCGTTTAATAGGTAATCGCATCGTGGCTTCGTGCTTGGCGCCTACGGGAAAATTTTTCTTCGAGGTGCCCTTGTCAGAAGTAAAATATCTACAAGTACCGGTCCTTGTACCGCAATACATTTACAGAATGCAATGCATACTTGCATTCATGTACGTATGTATACTTTGAGTTAATACAACGATTTCCTAAGGTCTCGAAAACCAATTATTAAGTACGTTTACATGTTTGTTTCTCTCGATTTATAAACATGTAAATGCCTATCCTGTGTAACTGTCGCGTAGCTCCGAAGCCATGTACCAATAGTCTACACCTAACATAAGTTACCCTACCAAGAATTTGTTTGCATCGACTAATTGGCAATTTCTCACGTCAGTTACGCATTGACAACGTCCATCAAAAGTTCCACCGTGGAATTCTTTGAATACGTCAAGCAATTTGGGTTGTGGAGAGTAAATGAAATAATTTGTTCGCTGTAAAACTCTCACAGTTTGCGAAACTTCTTCATGCCGCTGTCACGCTACTCCCACTGTTGATTCCATGTTACATAGAGCTACGACGATCGGTACCACGAATTAAGAAATATTCACGAATCCTTCGGGCGACATAGCGTCTAAGTAGTCGAGTAACAATGTTCCGATGATCGCAGAGAAAACAGAGACCTCGCGTGGCGAGGCACGTTTCGGAGCACTGGCGCGATTAGTACGACTCCGAACAGAGGTACGTCGATCTGCTCCGCGCGACGTCGCTCGACTGAGATACGTCCGCCTCGACGCCGTCCGTTATCGCGACTGATAAGCGTCCCGCCAGCGACGGAGTCGGGCAGCGTCGCTGGCGGAGGAGAAAGGGAAGGGGCGATTAGGCGGAGGTGGGCTGGCATTACAGAACCTAGGATTAAACGATCTGGAACTAGGATAGACCGTCTAGGTGTAAAATTTGAGATATGAACTGTGTTTCATTCGTTGTTCATTCGACTAAAATTTGAATTTAATTAGAATTTTCAATGTATTTTCAGAGTTTGTATAAACTTCTGCAAATTTCTGTCTAAAACGAGCGTTTGTCGTCCACGTTGGCGCTTCCCTGTTCTATTAGCGACGAAGAGGGTGCAGGCAGACTAAATATCGCGAAATCAGAGACAGGGGAAGGGACTCGAAGCGGTGACTTCCGAGAAGATTGAGCACGTACGATGCACCGGTCGAGTGCTTTTTAATACCCTCCTCGTGACTGCGACGTGAATCGACCGTAATTACGCGACGACGATCGACTTTGCCAATTTAATTCGTTTTTGTTCCTTAGAAGGGAAACTCTTATGGACGATGATCTCTCTACAGGGCCCATTCGACGAGTATTCTTTTGACAAACTCATGCGACACGGGTATTTTCTTCTTTTAACGAGTTTCAAATTTCAAAATTTATCACCACTAAACCGACTTCAAGGATCTCACGTTCGGTGACGGGTATCGTAGAAGGTCCTGACTCGATACTCAAGCTATATGTTTCATTTCAGTTAACATTTTAATCAAAAAAAATCCGAGTAAAAATTATTTACTAATCATGCACGAGCCAAACGTTCAATTTCAAAAATCTTGAAGGATTTAACGAACTCTACTTTAGTCGAGAGATAAGCACGGGGGAAAAGCTCATGCAGGACGAAACAAATGAAAAAGACAGACGTATGATTGGATCCTCACTTCCATAAGACGAAAGACGTGATGATCAGCATCACGGCCAGGCAGGCGCAGATCATTCCAGCGACCACTCCGCTGCTTAGCTCCTTGGAGCTGTGCGGCTGTAATGGTGGAATCTTGTCGCAGTTGCGGGTGACTCGTACTTTGCAGTGTATGGAATCCTCTCCGTCGATGATGACTCGATCGTCGATGGTGCTACGCGTGCCTCCACGTACCACGATCTCGTACACGGTGTTAGTCGTCAGATTCGGTATGATCATCTGCGAATTTATCGATTTTTAATAGGTTCAATGTCCTGGTCGGTCGTTAGACCCAAACGATAAATTACTCAGCAAGAATTTTTCTTAAAATCCACAAGATTTACATCTTGCGTTTGTTCTACTATTGCTGCACTGGGCAATCACAGTATTTAGACAACAACTCGGTTTAAATTCTACTTACAGTAACACTAACTGATTTAACAAAATAAACTAATGTAAATTTGAGTTATATCTACAAACGGTTGTAGAAAACAGAACAGTTTCAATTTTGAGGAGTGGATCAAGCTCTCGAGCTTGCATGATGTACCCACAGATTTTGAAGCAGTATTCCAGCAAGATAAGACGGTTTTTCAATTTTAGTCATCGACTATTTCCCTAGCAGGCTCGCGTAATGCAGGAATCCTGCAGCAAAACTGACGAGGATGAATTGGAATAATTTGATCTAAAATACGACGCGTAGTAAGCAACGAGTATCTCGATATCAGATTAAAGCGATCGCAACTCGCCTACGGCTGGAGAAGCTCGACTGCTCGAGAAAACGAAAGGTTTCGCGTTCGAGTTCCCGTCCAGTAATCCTTGCAACAGATTCCTTTCCTCGAGCGACGGATAATCAGAGTGAAAAGATGAAAAACGCAGAAAGTGGAAAATAAGTGTCGTGGTCAACTCTGGTAATTCGTCGACGTTTAGCCACCGTAACGGAAACCCTGACGTACACACACAGTGGAACACACGGGAAGGAGGCTCCGTTTCATGAATTTTTTAACAATTACTTTGTGTTTGGGAAATGTAAATTCATATACTTATGCTGTCTTGGTTCCTTTCACGCTAGTGACACTTAAAATCAAGCTACAGTCATGAGAGTCTTCAAGATGGTTCGTCATTAGTCTAGGAGGATTTTTAAAAGAAATTTGAGCCCTTCGACTAGCTGTTCAACAGTGTGTAATTTTTTTAAACAAGTGTCGAACAAGGTAGGGAAGACGTACTGCGCTCTCCAGGTGGTTCTTCTCGGACAGCATTTCAATTGTCTCGTAGCGGTTGCTGTTCTCGATACGATAGTTGATGAAATAGTAGTCGATGGAGCCTGTGAAGTTTTTCGGTCTTGCCCATTGGATGTAAATCGAATCGTCGGTCTGGCAGGTGACGTTCAAGATAGAGGGTGGGCTCGGTCCTGAAATGTCCGTCCGACGAATGATGTTGTCGGACGGCTCGCCCTCGTACTTCCAGGTGAACGCCTTTACCCATATCTTGTACTCTGTGTCCGGTTCTGAAAGGGAATCCAGTTAGCGCGAAAGAGAACTCAGGAAGTTCGTAGACAGATGATTGTACTTGGAAGAATTATTGTAGATTATCCTCATCAACATTGCTCATTTTTATCGATTTCTTTCGCAATGGTCTGAACAATCTTTTGGAAGAGAATTGATTAAAAGTGCCCATTTCAGAAGGTGCCAAGTCTCTTATTTTTTTATTACAAGAAGTAACAGTATATGTTACTTAGTCGAATTCCAAATTCCTGCGTTATCTAGCGATGCACTCATCAGCAGTAATCGAGCTGGTAGACGTAACGTGGCTTCTCGATAAGACTTCCAGCTTATCGGCGAGCCAACTTGTACGCGGACGTCTCTTTGTTTACCTGGACAATTCTCGAAACGTATATCTCGAGCGCAGTTTCCATCGACGTGCCTTAATCGCTAAAGGGAACTGGACGATCAATGCCGCGAAATGGCTTCGTTTTCTGGAGATTACTCACCCAGTCGTTTCAAGACGAACTCGATGATGGAGCCGTTGGAGTCGTAGTCGTTGGTCTTGTACATCTGGACGTCGGTGAAATTGGAATGCATGTAGTAGACACGATAACCGGAAATGATCCCATTAGCGCTCTCTGGCTCGGCCCATGACAATTCGATGGTCTTAGACGTGATGCCGTGAGATGACAAGTTCAATGGTTTCGTTGGCACTGGAAAACGATGAGAAATAAAATTAGAACGGAGTAGCAGAAAGTGGTTTCAAAGAAACAGGAAATCTGTCATTAAACAAATTTCAAACAGAATTATTTTATCAATTATTTTAGCTCGTAGATGAAAGACAAAAATTTAGAGCGGATAAGACAAAACACGTTAGGAATAGAATTGATAAATGAATGGACATATGAACTTTCCCCATTGCTGTCGGAATAGGTCGTACAAAAATAGCGCTTAATCACTTCATGGTGAAGGACGAGTCCACCTAATTGTAAAACACGCGGAACCCAGCCCATGACTGAACTTATACCGATTAAATGCAGAAAGTATGAGGAACAGAGGTCTCGAACCGAACCCAAGCACGAAGGATGCACTGACCACGCCAAAGGGCAATGGGAGTTAGTTTCGAAAGAGATAGTTTTTCGTGTATCGCGTGCAGCCTAGCTCCGTAAACTATTTTTCGGTCGATGCACTTGGCGTCGCGCCTCCTTTCCTTCATTCTCGTCGGTCGCTCATCATCTTCCAAGGTGGCTTTCCAATTTCCCACGTACAAAGACGAGAGCTGGCTTGCGACGGCCGAAGTCTGAATAATTAATTTCGCCTCGAGTGTCTTCTCAGACCCCTCGCGCTGACGAGTAACTCTATAGACACCGTCCTCACGTTTCGTACCAGCGACCGCAGCCTCTAAAATCGCGGTCGCGTCTTCTCCTGGCGATCTAAAACGCTCTTTGAATAAGCAACTCGTCGTGTAATCGAATCACATCGAATCAGACAAATGTTCTCATAAATTTCGCGAGGAAATGGTATTTGAAGTATTTATAGATCAAACCCTCAGGGGCTGCAGCTATGTTTGATCGTAGCTACAGTACGGGTTTAGCGAGCCCGAGGTACCCGAGCTATAAAGAGCCAGTGAGCCCAAACAACCTACTGATATGCTTAATGAAGATGTCAGAGACTGGAGAGAATGTCAATTAATGGATATTGTAAAAAAAGGTCTATGCAAATTGTTTTATAAAATTCGTAGCTCAAGACAGGATCTGTGTCATTGTTTGCTAAAATGGGGGTTGAAACCCCTAAGAAAGAGCAAAATTGCTAGGGCTCCCAAACTGGGTAGACTCTCCAAATACAGTCAATCCCATAAGTATTCGTACCTTTCATGTCTATTGAAGATATTTATTTAAAATAGGTTTGATGTTTCAAAATAAATTTTTTATTATAAATGTACACATGTGGTCTGTCTATTTATTTAGAAACGGCAAAGCTGTCATTTAATTTAGAAAAATTTCTTCAACAGACATAGAGAGTACGAATACTTATAAGACCGACTGTAAATACATGCTTCAAATTCAATTTTCCTTTTAGAGGAACGTCTACCAAAGAGTCTAGAAACCGCTATTGTATGTAGACTAGAGAAATACCCTTAGAGTCGGGAGTTAAGATCACGGGGGTAGTCAGGGTGTCATAAACACTGACAAGAGGGACGACGAGATAGAACTTTGATGTCGTCGCCCACTCCAAACGACTTGCCAGCGTTTACTTCCACCAGAAATAACCCATTGCGACATGCGCTCGTCTAATAGGGTCTGATAGCTTAGGACAAGTAGCGATCGATCCATAAGCCACGTTCGCACGAGTGCAAAATACACTTTGTACATCTATTCTGTTCCATAGCAAACGATCTTCTTAAATCCTCACTAATTTCAATCGCAATCGACGCATGCAACTTGGTATTCCCATTATTTCATAGAGCTCCAAAACTCAAGATAAAGCGTTGAAGCGTAGTTTGTTTGATACTGAAAAACCCTTTGAATCGCATACACGGACCACTTCGAATCTAAAAGCATCGCACAGAAATTTCTACCGATGGTCGCTCCCTTGTTGAACGATACGCCCAACAGCAGAGGGGAGAAAACGAAACTGTACGCGTGAAACACTCTATCGCCCCATAAGGTTTCACGATTGAATTTCGCGTTCAGCAACAGGGCGGCGTTTAGGGGTTGCGTTCGACGCGTTATCTATCGCAATCGAGCGAATCGAATTCGAAGCTTGCAATCAGATTCCGCGGAACTCGTCGTTTGGCTCTTTATACAAACTCTCTACTTGAACGGCGACTGCTGCGTCCGATTTCAAACGATACCTTGAACAAACTGATATCCCCGCCAGGACCAAACGGACTTCAATAACGCGTCGTGTACCTACGGTGCTTCTGTGTAACGCGATACTTCTACGCCAGCAAACTGGAATGAAACGTTAGGCACGGTGCGCAACTAGCGTCAAGCGACGACTATTTGCCGCATATTTGAGCACGGATATCGCTCGAATACGAAATCGAGCAACCGGTAGGGTGACGAACGAGGGGGGAGGAACTCATTTTGCGCCGCGTTTCTTTTCGTCTCGTTTCCGCGTTAACCCTTTGACAATGGAGCGCGTGATATTGAAAGCGTTCGCGTAGTGCACGGGAAAAAGCAATTACTATTCTGAGCAGCGGTGCGATATTTCATACGCAAAAACGACATCTGCCTATGGGGGGGGAGCTTCGATCGAAGAGGGGGGTCCCCGAAATGTTACCAAAACTCATTCGTGTGTAACAGGGGTAACCTAGGTAAGAAGCTTTGGGTGCTTCGCGAACTACAATTTGCAGAGGGCTGAATTGGATATTCATAGGAATAAAATTTGATATTTAACGTGACGATAAGGAAATAGTTTTGGCAGATGTAAATAAATTTCAATGCCGTTGATACGCTCTCGTTAATTTCTACTATGTAGATTCTCTCGTTAATTAATTTTCACGGTCATAAGGAGATCGTGCAATCAGAAAAGGGATAGGTCAAGCGCTTGAACAATTGGCATTCGTATAACGAAGGTTCTATTGTGCTATGAATTTTAAAATTCGACTAGCACCGTATGAATATCAATGAAAAAAAAAAAACTAGAGCTTCCATGGAACGGTACGAATAAATGGCACCGTAGCGAATTTCAATTTTACCCAATAACCCAGCTCTCACTTTTAGCGCAACAGCTAGCGCGTGCATACTCGCAAAGTGGTCATTCGCAATTTAAAAAGAGCGCAAAAAGCCGTGTATCCATCCGACTTCCCTTGTTTCGTATTCATATACTCGCTGGCTACTCTCATTTAAGTTTTCCCACACCTGACACCTTTTCGCGAATCTTCGATTCTTTCGTATCGTGTCGACGATACATAAATAAAAATGTTATCGTAGCAAGGCGAATTTTTAATTCGATAATTTGCACGAGGAATATTAAATACATCCGTTTACCTCCAATATTTTACATACAATGGCGTTCCATTAAACTCTCGAGCATTTTTTATATCAACTTCATTTGTCCATCACCATTCCTTGCATAATAGCTTGGCTTATTTTTATTATGGTATATCAATCATCGAGTTGTCTTCATCGATTCCTCGAGCGATTGATCACATTCTGCTATTAACTCATCTCGCTTCTAGTCTAATTTTTATCTAACGAGTGTCGGATAAGCAGTTGTTTATCTTTCGTTTGTTACTCGAAATTGTCATTCAGGTAAGAGTTTCGCCCACTTCTGCTCCAGAACGAACAACCAACGTTTCGTTTAGTATTCAAGGCGCGTTAGCGATGAAACGAAGAGGCGACTACCGACGAACGGCCGCGCAACCTTTACAATCCGCGGCCCGGACGATGTTATATCGAGTATACGTGCACGCACAGCCTGAAAAATGAATACGATTACGTTGTGAATAGGCAAGGTCGAGCGTGCAACTCGCTCTCCGTCACTGTAAAGCGCTGGTCGCAGAAAAAGGGAAGAGAAAGGAGAGAACGAACCTATCGCATCGAGGACTAATGCCATTTTCCGGGTTACGCGCAGCCCCGGGAAAATCCAGGTGTTCAACCTTTCTGAGACGATAAAAGACCAGTATTTAAATATAATAATTATAGCAAAAGTGTTAGAGCAATGTTTCTTAATATTAATCTTTTTGTGGTCTGCGTCAATAGGAATACAATTTTTAATCGCCCCTCCCTTGAAGTGGAATTGAATATTTAAAAAGTTACATCAAAGCTTCTGTGCAACAAGCGAATATTAAACGTGGAAAAGAACAGAAACAGATAGTCTATCTAAAAAGACACGATATTTTCTATAAGTCAGTTGAGTAAGCAATGAAAGACTCTGGACAGTGTTCCCTGGCACAACAGTCCTCCGTTCGAACGCAACATTTTTATTTTCGCGGGTCTCCAAATGTCATAAACGATGACCCAAAACCAAAGCGTTCTTAATAAATAGCTTGTCACTGCCACTACGTTTTACAACCGTTGCATTCGTTTAATGTTTCCGCTGAGTGACTTGTCCGTCGTGCGCTGCCCTCGAAATCCCTGTCTCCGTTTTCTCGTGACAAGTTTTTCTCGCCATGTCACGATGCAAACGAGGAATTTAAATTTCTACGAGCTATTTTTGAACGCCACCGAGTAACCGGTGATACTGAATTTCAGCATCGTCGCGAATGAATGCACGGAAATTGCGCTTCGGAGCCCTGGTAATTGCTCGTCGCTGACTTATCGCGAATTAGAACGCCACGTTCCCCACAGGTGACTAATCTCGCACCGTGGAACGAAACGATCTTCGATGACTGTTTACGCGAACTCTTGTTTCCTCGTAAATTTTCCACAAGTTTCGATACAATGGAGTCTTTGGTACAGTCGCAAGATTGTCACAATTATCGTCGATTAACAGGAATATGTTATCGAGGTGGTTTTTTCGCAACATGGTATAATACACACGTTAATACACTTTCTCTAACCCTACAAAAACCGTTAAAAATCTACAGAATCCATTAAATAAACAAACGTGGCCTTGAATTATCCTTGACTCCCCACCCTTCAGATTTCATTCGGAGAAATTCTAATAACCTCTTCGACCTCATTCGACTTCTATACTTTCACTTTCTTCTCTCACTTACCGAGGATAGGTATCTCATAACAGTATTTTAGACGCACCTCGATTG